CAAACTCCAGTACCTTCAAAAGGAAGAAAACAAAGGGAGGGAGGGAGGGAGACAGAGAGAGAGAGAGAGAGAGAAGAGAGAGAGAGAGAGCGCGCTCAGGAGGGAGGGAAGGAAGGAGGAAGAGAGAAAGGAAGGAAGGAAGAAAGAAAGAAAGGAAGGAAGGATATAGTAAGCCCTAGAACATCCACCAAGGAAATAATTTTTAAGTGAAAGAGTATCACTAAAGAAATTAAAATGTGGGGCTGGTGGAGTGGCTCAAGTGAGAGAGCACCAGTGTAGCAAATGTATGTGAGACCCTGGTTCAAACACCAGAAGCTCAAAAAAAAAATAAAATAAAATAAAATGCTACATTAGAAAATATTCATTGAATGCAAAAGAAAGCAGAAGAGCAACAGATAAACAAAAAGGCATAATACATACAGAAAACACAAATAAGATGGCAGACATAATCCAACTATATAAAAATAACAATATTTAATAATATTTCAAATAACTATTAAATTAAATAACAGTATTAAATAAGTACTAAATATTGATGGAATAAACACTCAAATAGAAATGCAGAAATTGCCACACTAAAAAAATCCACAAGATCCAATAATATGATGTGTATGAGGGAGATACTCTTTAGAGTCAGTGGTACAAATCATGCAAACATCAAGTAAACAAAGCTGGAATGGCTGTCAGATACAATAGACTTGAAAATAAAAAACGTTACTAGAGAAACACAGGAAGCATCAACCACTAGAAGATACAAAATGCATGCATCTAATAACAGAAGACCAAATACTGTATATATAGCAAAAAATAAATGAAGAGACCAAAGACACGTCAATAACAACAAGTGAAGTCTTTAAGACCCAACTTACTTTTTTGGTGGGTACTGGATTTGAACTCAGAGCCCAGGCTTGCTAGGCAGGTACTCTACTACTTGAACCATACCCCTACCCCTTTTTTGCTTTAGGTACTATTGAGGTAGGGTCTCCAGCTTTTTCCCTGTGCCAGTCTGGTCCAGAATCCACCCACCTACAGTCTCCCTAGTAACTGAGATCACAGGTGCACACCACAATGCCTGGCTTATTGACTGAGAAGTGGTCTCACTAACTTTTTTGCCCAGGCTAGACTCAAACTGATTGTCCCGATCTCCACCTCCTGAGCAACTGGGATTACAGGCACGGGCCACCTTGCCTGGCCCCAACTTTCAATTACACATCTAACAGACTGTAACACAAATCAAGACTGGAGCAGAATATTTTCAGTTTTGCCCCATTTAAAATCTGCTCCTCCTTTAGTTTATCACTGTTAAACTAATTGGATGCATCCATCCAATTGCTCAAGCCAAAAACCTCTCTAAGTAGTTTTTTCCCTCTGGCACCCTACATCTGATAAATCAGTGAATCCTATGACCTCGCCCTTCAAAATGTATCAGCATCCAACCACTTTTCCCACTTGCACACTGGCCTAAACCCCCACCCTCTCTTACTGGCGTTACTGAAAAAAGCCTCCTCATGGATTCTTTCTGTCCCATGAAGTCTATCTCCATAAAACAGTCAAGTGAACCTTCTAAAACAAATTAAATCACCTTACCCTCATCTCCTCTGCCCAGAAAATTTTTAACCAAATTCAAATCCTACAAGTTCCCTTTCTAGCTTATTTTCTACTCTCTTAGTCACACCCCTCTCAACAAACTGCTTCTTTGCCGTCCTTAGCAAGTCCTTAAATCAAATTTATAATATAATCCTATTTTTAAAAGCATAACAAACATACATGCCGAAAAGTAAGAAAGGATATTCCAAAACGTGAATAATAATTCCATGTGGGTGGTAGGATTATAGGCAATTTAAGTTTTTTTCTTACTGCAAAAAATCATTTCTCATTCATGTTAATTATGTACTAAAACACGAAAAGCTGCGTATCAGCTTTTGGGGTATGTAGTACCGCAAAATGTGGTAACAGAATGTTCACACAAGGTCTGGAAATAAATTATTCAGCACCAAAAAAAAAAACACAACAAAAGAAACAGGAGCTTGTTTATATTAATAGCTAGTGTTTGGTAATACAGACACTTTCACTCATTATCTCATTTAATTCTTAACCTTAAGTGACAAGAACTATTATCCCCCATGTTACTGATTTGTAAAATGAAGTTCAAAAAGTTAAGTAAGCTGTTGGAAGTTGCACAGTAAGTGGTGAAGCCCAGACCAGACTTAAGTGCTCAGGTTCTACATACTCTTCTAGCTATTGCTTCACTGTGCTTGTACACAACAGCACAGAGCTGGAACAATGCAGACATCTAGGAACAAAAACAACATTATAAAAATGTTTACTGAAACTAGAATTATGTAAAAATTGACACATTACATCAAAAAGCAAACTACACATCCTATACATGAGAATGAGAAAAGTTAGTATTTCACATGGAAAGGACAAAAAGCCAACATTGATGGCATTTTTTTGTTTTGGTTATCAGCCTGATTTTCATAAATGAACCAGAATTGCTTCAAAACCAACAAACCAGAAAAGCAACAACAACAAAAAACTAACCTAAAACTAAGTCAGGCCTACAGTCCCACCACTCAGAAGGCAGAGGCAGAAGCTTAGGGATTTGAGGCCAGCCTGGGCTACATAGCAGGACCCTGTCTCAAACAGCAAAAACAACAAAACAATAAAAACTTAATTATGCCAGGTGCTGGTGACTCATGCCTATAATTCTAGCTACTCAGGCAACAGAGATCAGGAGGATAGGGGTTCAAAGCAAGCCCAGGCAAATAGTTTGCAAGACAGTATATCAAAAAATCCTTCATAAAAATAGGGCTGGTGGAGTGGCTCAAGGTGAAGGCCCTGAATTCAAGTCCCAGTACCAAAACAAACAAATAAACAAAACCTAAACTAAACGATATTTTCATGGAATAAAGGGAATAGTTAAGTGTTTTCTTGGTTTTTGTTTTGGTTTTTGGTACTGGTTTAAACTCAAGTCCTTGAGCTTGCTAGGCGAGTTTTGTAATCAGTTCAGTGTTTTCCCAAATAACTCATATTCCAAGTCTAGGTCTAAGTAAGGTAGGTTTTTTTTTTTTTTGGTTTTTTTCCACGTACAGGGGTTTGAACTCAGGGTATCACACTTGCTAGGCAGGTGCTCTACACCTTGAACCACACCTCCAAGCCCTGCTTTCTTGTGTTGGATATTTTCAGGGTTCTCCAGAACTCTTTGCCCTGAGCTAGCTCTGAATCGCGATCTCCAGATCTCTCCTCCAAGAGTAGCTAGGATTACAGACGTGAGCCACCGGTGCCCTGCAGGTAGAGCCTTAAGTACTACCTAAAAAGTGATGGAACATTGTTTTATTTTTTTTTTCATTTTTCTTTTATTATTCATATGTGCATACAAGGCTTGGTTCATTTCTCCCCCCCCCCCCCCCTCCCGCTCCCCCCCCTCAATACCCAGCAGAAACTATTTTGCCCTTATCTCTAATTTTTAGTTGACATCTGGAGACTACATAACCAATAGGCTTCTGGAAAGGATTTTATGACACCCTTATTTTTGTTTGTAGCCTAAGTGACAAGCCTATGATGGCTTACTGGGATTGATGGCAGTGTAGTCTAGAAAGTATAGATTTAATCCCTTTCTACAGGAGAAACTCAATTCAAAAATACTCTCAAATCACTTTTGGAACACGCACCTTGCATACTTAAAAGGAAGCAAGCAAAGATAGTAGAAAGAGACCAAGGCGTTGACAAACGCGTGCTTGTCCCCAAAACCTTATCTGCGGGCACTAAACGTTTTGCAAGGTTGGCCTGCGGCTGGGCGCCAGCTGCTGTGGTCTCCGGGGTCAGTCACCGGACGCGGGGAAGGGGTCCCCAGCCGGGACTCGCGCACCTTCTCTGCCCGGCGGCTCTAGGAAACTGCCTCACTGGAATGGCGACAACGCCGCAGCCTTTAGGGGCAGAGAGCGAGCTCGGCGTTCATGGCCTGGAGGAGACGCGCTGAGCAGGCAAACCAAGGTGCGCGCAAACCCACCCTAAGACGCAAACAACCCCGGCAGCCTCAAGGCGGAGTCGGCGGCGCCCGTCAGTTCGGTCAACGCCCCGCCACCCGTCCCCTAAGTACGCATGCGCCGCCCTCCGCCGAGGACTTCCGGGAGCTGCGGCGAGCTGAGCTGTCCCTTCCAAGCCAGTCCGCCGGCTAGGCGCCTTCGCGGCGGGGCGTTCCCACCCGGAGGTACCCGAGTCCCAGGCCGAAAAGATGCGGGAACCAGACGCTGGGTCAAGGCTAATTAAGCTGGCATTTGCTTAACTTCTAACTCCGCCTTAAGACTTCTTTCAAAACTGTCTTGGGTGTTCTTGAAACCTTTCTATTTCGATCGCCGAACTGGTATACAGTACCAGTGAACTTGGTGAAAAAAATTTTTAAAGGAAAACGCCATTTTTACTATGCCCTCTTAAAAATAGTTTGTGGGCTGGAGACGTGGTTCAAGTGGTAGAGCACCTGTCTACCAAGCACAAGGCCATAAAGTCAAACCCCAGCACAATAAAAAAAAAAAAATTTGTGGAAGCCTAAACTTGCCTTCTGAGTCACAGCCTCGCATCAAAAGTGGGTAACTTGGGCACCTATTAATTCTCCTTCCCTTATCCTTCCCCACAATCAGGTTGCTAGTGTTCACAAAAGCCATACTACCAACAAAAGTAGACAAGGGATCCTGGGAAATAATATTGGAGCTAAGGAAATTAAAACAGGCGCTCCACTAACCAGCCACAAGCTATAGAGAAAGTAAGATCTCTGCCTCCGCTTCAGGGACCCACAGCAAAGCAGCGCTCACAGCTGCGTACACAACACAAGCCACCCTCTACAGTCCCTCTGCAGAGGACGCTTCGAGAACTACCTACCCAGCTTCAACTCTAACTAGCACTCAAGTCACCGCCCCCATCGTCCCGGAAGTTACGTCAAACGCTCCGCACCACCCCAATCCCCGGATGTAGGGTTTTATATCCGGATTCTTAGCTTTCTCTACGCGCTTTACACATGCGCTACGGCCTTTTCCTTCTTCCTCCACTTCCACTGGCTTCCACCGTCCCGGGAGCCGCTGCTACCGCCGCGGAGGAGTCAGGAAGTTCAAGATGGCCGCCGCAGAGACACAGTCGCTGCGGGAGCAGCCAGAGTAAGTAGTACCTGTCATTGGGCGGGAGTGGGCGGGAGGACGGAGCTTCGGAGACCGCCGAATGGGGAACGGCGGAAACCGGCACCGACGGGCGGGAAAGTTCAGGCCTAACGGCAGGAGTCAAACTTTGTCATTCCCCGCGCCTTATGCTGTCGGGCGGGAGGCGCGGAGAGCGGGAGAGCGGCCTTAGAGCTTCGCTCTGCCAGAGGCCGCGGCTGTTTGGGGCGAAGGCCGCTGCGGCCCTGCGTGCGTCGTTGCCCCGGGAGGCGCAGGCGCAAGCGGCCCCTACAGGTTCGGGGCGCGTGGCGGCTGCCGCGGCGCTGTGGGTCGCGCCTTCTTACCCCTCCCTTGGGGACAGCCATGCACTCGGCGGCGTTGGTGTTGAGACCCGAGAGGTTTTCCCCGCATGCCGCACTTTGCTATTGTAGACAGTATTTGCTGCCGTTAGGCCACCACTGGTGTCTCCAGAGTCGGACAGGAGAGGTGCTAGGGTCACACTCTTCGGCCGTCCCAGAACTAGTCTGTGACTAGCGGGATCCTTCACCACCCCAGCCCTGCAATCTTTACTTCAGCAACCACCTGGTAATTTTTTTCCCAGTCATTCGCAGCTTATTTGCCAACTTGAAAACTTGAGGTAAAGTAACGTAGGTTGGTTTTAAAGCCTGGCAGTATTTTTTCTGAGTTTGTGCCCTTCAGTAGGAGTGAAGTAGTGGGTTAGGAATTGCTAGCTACTTCCAGACCAAACCACTCTGTAATTAAGCTAATATAAGAATCTAGGAGGGTATGTGAACACATACTTGAATGAGTAAAGCTAGCCCTTGCTTAATTAAAACAGTATTTTGTTTTTCGTGCTTATGCTAGGTAAACTTAAAGAACCTAAAAGACAATGTTATTTTAAATAGTATTCCTACAGCAAACTTTTTTTGCATTTGCATTATCTGATTTGTTTCCAGCCATCTTAGGAAAGGGAAAAGACGTTGATAAAATCTCTAGCTGCTTATGACAGACAGGAGAATCTTTGCCGCATGTCACCATGGCATTTCATTCTCTGCATCCAGTTCTGGGCTCTTCGGTCATTTGCTTTACTCAGCTACATAGAAAACTATACCATTTAAAAATAATTGTTATGGGCGTTTGAAAGTTGCAATATTATTTTCACAAGTCGGCTTAGTGTATTGTTTATCACCAAGTTCTTTGTGTGGCACAAAGCACTTTTCACTGAGACGATACGAATCTGATGCTATACAGCTAAATTTTCTAGTAATCTGAAAAGTTCTTAGTATTGGAGTACTATTTATTTGATTTTAGGGAGAAGTCAGATCATTTTCAGGAGTGGATCAGCTATGTTTCACTTACATATTCTATTGTAGTAGATTTAATATAAATATAAATAACACTGAGGTAGTCTAGCTCCCCCCACACACACACTTTTCCCACAGAAGCTTGGTTTAAATGGATATTTGGTCTGTATGTGTCCTGTAATCACTGATTTGAAAATGGCTAACAAAGAAAATACCAGTTTTATATGAAAGCAAGTATTATGCTGACTGTAGTGAGTGTGCAAATACAGTTGTCTTAACAATTCTTTAGAGAACACTGAGTAGTTGATTTTTATATGGAAAAATCTTAGAAAGCTAAGAAAAAAATGTAGAAGTGAGTTTTTAAGCTCCCCAAAGTGATGTAGTGACTTTTACATTTGCCAGTCTCCCTTTAGTCCAGCTTTTTTGAACCTATTTGTGTGTACCAAAGACTAAATGCTATTCGAATCATTCAAATCATTGAACAAATTGAACTAATTTAATTGTTATAACAACTCTCTGCAGGTAGATACTGTTATTTTCCATATTTTACAGATGATGAAACTGAAGCAGAGGGACATTAAGTAACTTGCCAAAGGTCATGCTAACTGATATATTCGTTTAAACCTGGGCAGTCTGGTTCTGAAGCTCTACTTCTAACTATTGAGGTGCCTGGCCTTCCTCTATACATTTGGCTGTTTTTTAAACTGCCTTTAAAGTTTTGGAATCATTTTACTTCTTGCCAGTGTCCCACAAAGTTGTTTGTTTGCTTTGGTTTTTGTGGTACTAGAGATTGAATCCAGCATAAACTCTATCACAGAGCTACATCCCCAGCCAGAGATCCATGGTGTTGGGATGGAGGGTTGTTTTTGAGAGACAAGGTCTTGTTGTGTAGCTCAGGGTGGCCTCGAAGTTGTGACTCTCCTGCCTTAACCTTCCAAGGGCTGGAGTTACTGGCATGTACCTGAATGCGTGGCCAAAGATTCTTTTTTGATGTGACATTTTTAATTCATCGAAACTTGGTTTGGGAAAGATGAGGACAGAAGGAAGTTTGTTTTAACTGGTTGATTTTTGGGATCCATTGTAACTTTTATATCTACATTATTTCTATATTCAAAGTATTTTAATTCATGAGCGAAATAGGCTTAATTACTTTCCTTGGAAAGAGGTAGTGACATTCACTTTGCTCATTGAGAACATTTTTAAAGAATTGTCTAGCTTTAAAACTATTCCATTCATGCTCACATTTAAGTTAAATCAGTTCTCTGTGTATCCAAAGTATAAATTGGATTATTGCCAAGTAAATTATTAAGACTATTCTTTGAGCTGGGCATGGTGGCCTGTAATCTCAGCACTTGGAAGAATGAGGCAAGAGGATCCTGAGTTCAAGGCCAGTTGAGACACAGTCTCAAAAAAGACCCCTATTCTTTGGAAGATGTATGTGAGAGAGGAAGTTAAAATAACACCAGTGGATAAAAAGACAAAGAAGAAAGAAAAAATAGCACTAGTAATTAGTCATGGATCACTTATCATTTTGAGGTTGTTCCAGGACTTGTTTAAAGGGTAAAATTTAATAAAATGAATATCCTTATGTTGTCCGTGCTTCCGATTCAGCTTTGCTTCCAATTAATGTGAATCAAAGCATGTTACCCAATGGCAACTGGGATAGCTCAGTTGGGAGAACATAAAACTGAAGATCTAAAGGTCACAGTTCTCTGCAAGGTAAACTTCTGGCTGGGGGGCCTTTAAAGCAATTGCTTGGCAAGCTCAAGGCCATGAGTTCAAATCCCAGTATTGAAAAAAATAATAAAATTCACCCAGTACTTAATAATTTCTCAGTAAATAATTGCTTTATGACAGACCTTTTGTAGACAGGTTGGTATACACATTCATCTGCTAAGTGTATAATGTTAAAAATACAAATTTATGTACATGGAATTTATATAGTCAGTATAAACTATTCAATGTCAGTTTTCTTAACAAGCAACTTTTTTCCTACAGTAGAAGAAAGTTGTGGATAATGAACCTAGTTTAGCTGCTCTTTTTATTGGTTTGGGTTTTTTTTTCCCCCTGGTTTTGGTTTTTGGGTTTTTTTGCTATTTATCATTTTGGGGATGGAACCTAGCTCTACAGGCACATTTTAGGCCGGCACTCTACAGCACTGAGCTATTCCTGCAACCACAGATTGCAATTTTTGTTTTGTATGAAATTGCTTTTGTGAGATCAGCTGAGAATGTGAAGGATTGCCATATGTGTAGCCCAGTGTAAGAGTGCTCTAGGATTATTGTGGTTAATATAGTTGGCCCTGAGGTGCTTCTCGCATTTTTGTTTTTCTTGAAATTATAATACTCATTAAGTTACAATGGAAACTGGGTACACTTCCTTGAAATGACTCTATGGTAATGAGGGGCATTGTAATGTAGATCCTGATTTCTAAAAGGTCTAGGAGCTAGAGTTCTCTGTGGGTAGGCTTTTGAAGTTTGAACTGAAAATGCTAAGACTTACATACTCTCTGTAGAAAGCATTAGAAAAGATGTGGGTTCAAAAAGCAAATTTTTCTTGGAGGAGTGATTAAATTTAAGTCATTTGGGATATTGCACATTAAATAAATAGTGTACTCCTATATGTGCACTCTGCAGCACTAGATATAATTGAGCAAAAGCTTAACTTTTAAGAGTCTATATAGATAGTAAGAACTAGCTTTAACCTAAGGCATACTGCTTTTATGTTTTCTGTATGCACCATTTCATTGGGTCAGCCAATAACTTACTGAATACCTTCTGTAGGTTAGGTAAGTTTTTAGGCCCTAAGGTTAGAACAATGAAGTAAATAGATCAAAATTCTGTTCTCATAGTGCTCATGTTATAATAGAAACAAGAATTATATTAGATGACGGGGATTACATTTTGGAGAAAAATTAAGCACAGAAAGGAAATATGTGTAGGGCAGGGGTTGCAATTAATATGAGGTTAGGAAAACTTGACTCAAAAAGTACCATTTGAGCAAAGACCTGAGGGAATCAAAAGGAGCAAGCATTTGTATCTGGGGAAAGCATTGCCAAGAAAAACAGCAAGTACAGAACACCAGGGCCCTGAGGTGAAGTGTACCTGTCCAAGGAAGGCATTGTAGCTGGAGCGGGGTGAGTGTGGAAGGACAGTGGTAGGTTTATTCAGAGGAATTGGAAAGTTGGGCAGTAAGTATAATGCCTTGTAAAGAATTTTAGATTTTACTTTGAGTGGGTTAGGAAGAAATAATCAAGTTTCATGAAGGATAGTGATATAATCTTGCATTTTTAAAGCATCTTTTATCAACTGTGGAGCTTTTGACTGATTTAGGATATAATACCAGCCTTCTTACTGGCTTGACATATGTATGACCTTAGGTAAGTCCCTTGAACCTCAAAGTCTCACCTGTCATGTGGAGAGACATTTCTTGAGCACTTAGTGTGACAGCCTTTTATAGTGTAAACTCATCTAATTGTCACAACAAACCTATCATTTCTCTGGGCTATTATTTCCCCGATTTTTACAGTTGAAGGAAATGAGGCATAGAGGAGCAACTTGCATAAGGTTGTAGTTGCGAGTGTCATGTTGGGGCAGCATGTTGAACCTATAGTTTTGTCTCCAGAATGCATGGTTTTTGGCAATATTCCTAAAGATAACATTCTTAGCAACCACTTTGTCAGCTCCATAATGGTTTTGTGAGTAAGTATATTTATTTAGTAATCTGCTATAATAACAGCTTTCTTTGGGGGCACTTAGTTCATGTTCAGCACTGCTGTAAGCATCTCACATCTGTTAACTTGTATAAACTCATAACATCTTTTCAGGTAGGTACTGCTGTTTTCTCCATCTTACTAATGAGACACCTGAGGATCCAGAGATCCTAAACTTGTCAAAGCCTCATGGACTAGTATGTACTAGTTTGGTGGGTTTTTTGTTTTTTGGTTTTTTTTAAGACAGAGTCTCACCCTGTTGCCCAGGCTGACCTCACACTAGCTATCCTCCTACCTGAGACTCCAGAGAGCTGGGATTACACCTATCTGGATAGTTCCTCTCTCTGTCTCAATTGTTCTCTTCCCACTCCCCACCCAAAAGCACTGGGTTTGAACTCAGGGCTTTACACTTGCTACTCAGGCACTCTACCAATTGAGTCATGCCCCCCTGGACCAGCTCTTTCCTTTGAGAGGAAAAAGAAAAAAAAAAAAGACATTGCAATTCAGTGTGTTGTCTCATACTTTACTAGAGAGAAGTCCCATCTTCCATGGTACTAGAAATGCAGGTTGGCAAAATCAAAGATCTTTGTGTTTGGTGCCATGTAGTGGCTAAGTGTTCTCCATTTTCCCATTGCTACCACCTAATAACTTCTCAGTAATATATCCATTCTCTATCACTCTTCCTTCCATAAAAGCCAAGTTTATTGAATACTTGAATATGACTGGAGGGTTAGACTTTCTACTCCAAGTCCTGTCACAATCCCAGAAGTGGCAGTACCATTATAGACAACCCAGTTAGCGCTCTTCTAACCTTGCAGTTCTTGGGTGTTGTGACTTCATTGAACCTTGAGTTCAACTCAACTACCCACTCCTAGAATCATATACCATTTCTTGTCATCTTGTGGAATTGGTCCACTTGGGATCTTAACTTCTACTAAACTGGTGTCTTCCACAAATTTGATGCTTTGGGTGCATTGTTCTGTGTGGTTTGCTGAACATGTCTTTTGTCGCTTTCCCTATTTTAATGCCATTTTCCCCTTTAAATTCTTTGCTCATACTCTAGGACCAGAGTTATTCTGTCTTCATTTTTTAATCTACATTCCTTCTCAATAAACATTTCTTCTCTTCTCGCAAAGTCCCTGATTAACAAATAGCCTCTCCCCCTGCTCACTCCCCATGGTCTACAGAACACACTCCTTGACCATTCTCAAAGTGAGTTTAGGTGATCCTTCCATGTTCCATAATACCCTCCTTATTTACATCTTCATCATTGCACTTCCCCAGTGTCTTGTTCATGTTGTATTTTCTTTTCTACTGAATTGTTCCTTTGAGGGAGTCAGATCTTGGTTTATATTGTATGGTTTTTCTTTCGCTGACAACCTCACCTAATGCCTACATGTGGTAAGTGATTTTTCTTAATGTTCAGAAATTAATGAATAGGCTCATGAATTCTTACCTTGCAAGGTTCTATTTGTACTAAATGGTACAAATGGTAAGCTTAATAAAAGTATAGGAATATATCATTTTAAGCTTTACCAAGACAATCCATATCTTCCTCCAAAAATAGTATGATGGACAGAATCCAGACTGTTTAAAGTTTGTATTTGGTCTATTTTAGGATGTGATGGTTTATCATGCAGTGATTTTAAAGAGGAAAGTTAAATAACTAGGTTGACATTTGGTAGAGTTGGTGTGTAAAATACATTTTTCATTTGGAATGCTTTCAATTTATAATGGACTTTTTGGGACATAATCGCGTTATAATTCAAGGAGCATCTGTAATGCTATTAAACCTGTATTTAACTTGAAATCACTAAACACCACAGGCTTGATAAATTGCGAATCATAAGCTAACTCAATATAACAAACATTTAAACACAGACTCTCCTTTAATTAATTTGCATAGCATCTGTTAATATGAACATATTTTGGGAAACCAATTTCTCATTTGAAATTCAGAGATTAAATAATTTGTTGAACAAATATCAGGTTGAACTATATGAAATTGCTGGTATTAGACTGCTGTTGACATCCAAAAATGTCCTTCCCTTTCATTCACCCTGATGTCCCATAATTGATTAGTGGCAGCCGTAGATAAGAGTCCTGACTCCTGGCCAATTCTCTATGAAGTTTTATCCCTTGGGAATTTGTTTATACTGTCAACATCATCACCCTCAGCCACCAGTGTACATTGCTTTCTTGTTTGGGCTATAGCTCAATATTAGCCCTAGATAATATAAACCTAGAGGTTTTGTTTTCTTTTGTTTTTAAGAAGGGGTGATTAGGTGCAATATGCTCAAATGACTTGCTAGATTTATTATAGAGACATTAAGTTTTCTAAATTTCAAGTAGAAAAAGTCTCCCACTGTATCTCAATATCAGTACATATTATGGGAAAAAAAAGTTGTTTAAGTATGTGTGAGAAATATTAGTTTAAAAATCAAGTTACTAGGTGGCTATTTTAACTAAATCAACATTAACAGGATTTTACTATGGTTTGGATTCTTCAATTGATTTTTTAACCTTATTCTATTGGTATTTACTCTTAATACTTTTGGCTTGTGAGTTCATCTATTAGAAATAAAAATACAGTATATCACCACCCACCTTAGTTCTTACATACCTTCTTTGAAGTAAAATACATGAAGCTGTTATTGAAAAATTTTAGTGAATATATTACATTGAGATATATTTTATCCTTATTGTTATTTTGTTGTGATTGAGTACTGGATAAATTCTGTGATTTTAATATGTGACTCATTACAGGATGGAAGATGCTGATAATTCTGAAAAGAGTGTAAATGAAGAAAATGGAGAAGTATCAGAAGACCAATCTCAAAACAAACACAGTCGACACAAAAAAAAGAAACATAAACACAGAAGTAAACATAAGAAACATAAACATTCCTCAGAAGATGACAAGGATAAAAAACATAAACATAAGCATAAACATAAGAAACACAAAAGAAAAGAAATTATTGATGCTTCTGACAAAGAAGGTATGTCTCCAGCAAAAAGAACTAAACTTGATGATTTAGCTTTGCTAGAAGACTTGGAAAAGCAGCGAGCCTTGATTAAAGCTGAACTAGATAATGAGTTAATGGAGGGAAAGGTCCAATCTGGGATGGGGCTTATTTTACAAGGTTATGAATCTGGCTCTGAAGAAGAAGGAGAGATTCATGAAAAGGCGAGAAATGGAAATAGGTCTAGTACTCGATCTTCAAGTACAAAGGGGAAACTTGAACTTGTGGACAATAAAAATAGTACAAAAAAACGAAGTAAAAGCAGATCCAAAGAACGGACTAGACATAGGTCGGATAAAAAGAAAAGTAAGGGTGGTATTGAAATAGTTAAAGAGAAAACATCTAGGAGCAAATCAAAAGAGAGGAAAAAGTCCAAAAGTCCATCCAAAAGAAGTAAGTCTCAAGATCAGGCAAGAAAATCCAAGTCCCCTACCCTTCGACGGCGGTCTCAAGAGAAAATTGGGAAGGCCAGATCTCCTACTGACGAGAAGGTTAAAATTGAAGATAAAAGTAAGACGAAAGATAGGAAAAAATCCCCAGTTATCAATGAAAGTAGAAGTCGAGATCGAGGTAAAAAATCCAGATCCCCAGTTGACTTCAGAGGTAAATCCAAAGACAGAAGATCACGGTCCAAAGAAAGAAAATCAAAACGATCTGAAACTGATAAAGAAAAGAAGCCAATTAAATCTCCCTCTAAAGATGCCTCCTCTGGGAAAGAAAATAGATCACCCAGTAGAAGACCTGGTCGTAGTCCTAAAAGAAGAAGTTTGTCTCCAAAACAACGTGATAAATCAAGAAGAAGTAGATCTCCACTTCTAAATGAGAGAAGATCTAAGCAGAGCAAATCACCTTCTCGAACTCTGTCTCCCGGAAGAAGAGCTAAGAGCCGATCCTTGGAAAGAAAGCGGAGAGAACCAGAGAGGAGACGACTTTCTTCTCCAAGGTATCTTGCTTACAAAATGTTAATGGGTTTTTACCTATGTGATATGTTTTGTTTTCTAAGTTTTTTTTCAGTACTGGGGTTTGAACCCTGCTAGTTAGGTACTCTTTTGTCACTTGAGTCATACTCCCTGCCCACAATGCACCATATTTCAAAGGGAAAAATTGAACTCATGGTCAATTAAAAATGAGATAGTAATTAGTTTCATAAATTTAAACATGATCTAGTACATTGATTGTGTTAACACTTAAGCTTATGGGTGTTTTATAAATACCAAGCTTGACGACAGTCCATTCTTTCAAGTTCTGGACAATTTAGTATCTAATTTGCTAAATCACTCTTGTAAATCCAAGTATTAAACTGTTAAGTCTTCGCAGGATTCTTTTAACTCACCAGGTGGGGAAAAGGAGCCTTTTTACCTAATTTTTTTTTTTTTTTAAATGTGGGACTGGGGTTTAAACTCAGAACTTCATGCTTGCAAAGCAGGTGCTCTATTGCTTGCATCATACCTCCAGTTCATTTTGCTCTGACTATTTTTGGAGATCCAGGCTAATCTCAAACCTCAGTCCTCCTGATTTCAACCTCCCAAGTAGCTAGGATTGCAGGTGTGAATCACTAGTGCCCAGTAGTACCTAATTTTTAAGCAATATAAAGCCAGAGTTTTGTGGTTTACCTAGGATCATAGGATTAAATTGGGAGGTAGGTTTAGATTGTAGAAAACAATCTAACTACTTTAGAAACTGACTTAACTAATATTTTGTATGTTCGATAATTATATTTTGAAGTGATCTACCAAGTTTTGCTTATTGAATGTGAATTCCTGGTAATTTCCTGTATGCATATTAATATTTTCAATGTATAGTTGCAGCATAAATTGATTTTGAAGTTTAAATCATGACTTTATCAGAAATTTCAAGAATGTTGCTTTCAAAATGCTCTTTCTTAAGACACTTTTTATTCTTTGCTCTTCACGTCTTAGTGGTATTGTAATGAAATATCCCCTTTCAGCTCTCTGCAGTGAAGCAGTCATTAACTTTACTAATTCTTTTATCTGAATTATTTCTTAGTTATCTTGAGATAACTAAGCAATCTTAAGAGTAGCAACATGTTAGTTTATAGAATAGATGTGCCATAAGTAGTCATTTCTTGGTGGACATGTGAAAATTTATATAGTTTCTAGTTTTTCACTGTTGTAAACATAGGTGTCCAGTGGTTATGGTAATGTTTGTTTGTAGAATAGATTCATAGAAGTGACTTGGAAAGTCTCCTGGTATGTACATTTACACTTTAGAAAGTTAATGCCAAATATCTTTCCTAGAAAGTTAGACCACATGGTGCTTTTGTGTTACTATATGGACTGACTTTTCCCAAAAATTTCTATTAACCAGAATACCATATAATAATACCCTTTTGTCATTTTTTTTAAATTTCTTTCTCTCTCTCTCTTTTTGGCAGTACTGGAGCTTGAACCCAGAACCTCACACTTGCTAGGCAGGTGCTCTACCACTTGAGCCACTTCACCAGCCCATTTTGTCATTCTAAATTTCTAAATTTCTTAGCATTTCGATGGCATTTAAGCAAATAATATTCAGTTCCTTCTACACTCTTACTTTATATTTTCAGTTTTCATCCAGTCTTTGAAAAGAGTATGCTTGTAAGTGTATTATATTTCAAAAAGATTTTCTCAGCTGGACACCGGTGGCTCACACCTCTAATACTAGATACTCAGAAGGCAGAGATAATAGGAAGGTTGAGGTTCGAAGTCAGCCTCAGGCAAATAGTTCTTGAGACCCTATTTCAAAAAACCCATCACAAAAAAATGGTTAGCAGAGTGGTTCAAGGGGTAAGAGCATCTGCCTAGCAAGCATGAAGCTCTGAGTTCAAAGCCTGGTGCCACCAAAAAAAGAAGACAAATTTCTCATGTGGCCCTGCCAAAAAGTACTATAAAGTGTAAGTTGTTTATTTTGACTAAATAGAAAAAGATTCTTTTAGGTTCTGTATATCATATCCATCATGTAAGCCAGGATGTATTTTTATCAAGTTGAAAAATTGTTGTGTTTCTGTTTAATTATGGAGACAAACTTGTTGTCTTGACTGTTGGGATGTAGTAGCCCTATCCAAATTTCAAACAGCATTAAGAAATGTTCAAAACCTTTTTTAAAAATTAAGTTGTAAAAAAGCCTTTGGTAATGCAGATATCACATTAAACAAGAATAAAGTCATTTGAAAACAAGAATAAACTCATTGGGAGGAACTTATCACACAGTTGTTGCGAAGTTAATTTTGAATAGAAGAGGCCAAGAGACTTTCCCAATTCTGAGATTAACGTTGATTGTAATTTTGTTAAACTTAATGGACACTAAAAATAAGGTGTTTACACAGACATTTCTGCACAATATTGAAAGAATCTCCAACTGAGGAAACAGAATATTACTACTCACTTGAGCAAGTTTTGTTTAAGTTTATCTGAAACTAGAATCAGTAGCTCTTTAACTATAAATAGCCTTTAATGCTTCAGGTTCTGAGGCCATTGGAAATACTTTTATTGTATGCTCACTATAGTACCAAAATGTTAGTTATCTCAATATAAACTAACCAGTGTTTTACTATCATTAGGTTAGTGTGTCTTTTCTTAAGATGTTCTTTACATGTAGAACATATTCTTTGATGATTTGGTTTATTTTTCTATTAACCTGTATTTGCTCCCCTTAAGAACACGACCTCGAGATGATATCCTCAGTAGAAGGGAAAGATCAAAAGATGCCAGCCCTATCAATAGGTGGTCTCCAACCCGAAGAAGAAGTAGATCTCCCATTAGAAGGAGGTCTCGTTCCCCACTAAGACGTAGCAGGTCTCCAAGAAGAAGAAGCAGGTCTCCTCGGAGAAGGTAAAGATGAATTATAAATGTTACCTTTTTTATTCACTAACCTTTGAATGTGTTTGAACCTCCAGTTAGCTCAGTTGGTAGGTTTTCCTATAGATCATTTTTTTCTGAAAAACTTTAGCTGTGAATCCAGTTTCCTTCTGCCAGTATGTAATATTTCTCACATGTAGATCTTCCTTCAATATAGTTTTCCTTCAAATTTATATAAATCATTGCTTATTAAAAAGTCAATATTTAGAAGTAGACCTTTATTCTGCATATCAGGTAAATCCTAAATAACCTAGGCTTAAAGGGTTTTTTTTTAACTAGCAAAATCATAGGGTAGTAAATAAGTAGCCTAGTTTCTTGTCATTTTATAATTGTAAGGCCCTGGTTCAGTCCTTAGTACCTAAGGGAAAAAATAAAGTAATAGTAGATTCTTAATTTGACCTATGTTCAAATCCATATTCATGAGAAACATTTTTTAGTTTAAAATTGGTAAGAATGGTAGCTATATTTTACTTACCTTTAGCTACTTATTCAGTCTTTTTGATACTGTATTACTTTTACTTATTTTAAGTGTCTTTTTTTTTTCTGGCTTTTTGAGACAGGGTCTTGATATGTAGCAGAGGCTGGCATCTAACTTGTGATCCTCCTGCCTCAGCCTCACAAGTGCTAAGAGTGTAGGTATATAACACACCCAACTTACCTTTTTATTTTTTTAACTGTTCTTTAAAAGCAATTTGGGATTCACAATATTTGCTCAAAAAAGTACAGGTCATCTGCTTAGAAATTACAGTTTCCTCATACCCCCTCACCTGCACATATGTCCTTACTCCCATTTTGATATTTTAAAAAATGTGTATCTGTCCTTTTTTTCCTTCAAATAGGGACAGAGGTCGGAGGAGTAGATCACGCTTAAGAAGAAGGTCTCGATCACGGGGTGGTCGTAGACGAAGGAGCAGAAGCAAAGTAAAGGAAGATAAATTTAAAGGAAGTCTTTCTGAAGGAATGAAAGTTGAGCAAGAGTCTTCATCTGATGATAAGTAAGAATGAAGCTTTCCCATAATTTTATTTTTCCAGTTTAGAGAAATAGTTTGACTGGAAATGTTAAAATAATTTCCACCATATTTGATTAAGTGAATCTAGTAATTGGTCCTTAGTTAATCTTTTGTGATTCTTGAGTATGATTATGGCAGAGGTAGTGCTTTTCTGAATTTAGAGACCTCTGCTTTGGTTAAAGTGAATATTGGGCCATCATTTTGTCATGAGCCTTCTCTTTATTTGTATTACTACAGATATGTTCATTAGTCCTGTCGGTCTAGATTACCAGTTTGGGGGATGAGATTTATGTACAAAGTTTAGACTTTTCAATTTATGACTAATGTTATATGCTGGTGGTAAGTATACCTGCTATGATCTGAAAATAGAGAACATTTTAGTGACTAATAAAACATTAGAAAAGGTTTTAAAATGCAAACTTGCTAAATGGAATATCTCAAAAATAAAACTAGCTTAGTAATTCTCAACAGAGGGATGTTTGCCTCCCAGCAGACATTTTGACAGTGTCTGAAAGACATTTGTGATTATCATCTAGTGGCAGAAGGCCAGAAGTAACACATCCTACAATGCACAGGCTAAATCCACACAAGAAAGTATCCAGCTGGGCACCAGTAGTTCACGTCTGTAATCTTATCTCCCGGGAGGGTGAAATCTGGAGGATTGCAGTTTGAGGCCAACCCAGGGCAAATAGTTCACAAGACTTTTCTTCAAAATAACCAGAACAAAATGGACTAGAGGTACAGCTCAAGCGGTAGAGCACCTGTGCTTTGAAAACATGAAACCCTGAGTTCAAATCTCCAGTCCCACCAAAAAGAGAAAGAAGAGAAGAAACCATACCAAAAAGTCAGTAACATTAAGGTCAAGAATGCCTGATTAAAGCTTCATGACTAAGAAAGTTGGGTAGTAAAGGGTTGTCTATGTAGATCCTGATAGTGCAGTTGGCTTATGTTGCTGAGTGAATATTCAGCAGATAGGGTGTACTGAGATTGTCATAAAAACTGAGGAAATCTGGGACAAGTAGAAGGAGAATCAAGGGCAGTATTTGAGATAAGAGCCACATTCCCCTTAGGTGATATGCAAATGTCTGTATGTGCATTTTTGATGGAGAAGGGACTAATAGTTTTCATAGGTTCTGTGCCCAGAAAAAGAAACAACTAACTTACCTGTCTCAGCCCTTTCATTTTATAAGTGAGAAAACAAAGGTAAGAGTAAAATAACTAAGGTCATGAAGGTGCCAGAGGTGACTTCTTAATAGTTAAGAGATATTTGTGTGTCCCCAGTTTTGGTGCTGTGAAGTAGGTGAGAAGAAAACAGGAAGAGTAAATTACCAGGATCCAATCAGGCACCTGAGACAGCTTAACAAGTAACATGACTTAAGAATTTTGTTCTGGGTTAACGGTGACCTAATTTCCAGCCTTTAGTTTTAAGATGTGTAAGTTACAGTTTTAGAATCTCTAAGAACACTTGAAATTTTTTTTTTTTATAGCCTTGAAGATTTTGATGTGGAGGAAGAAGATGAGGAAGCCCTAATAGAACAGAGAAGAATACAAAGGCAGGCAATTGTTCAGGTGTGTGATTTCAGTTAAAAAAAAAATCAATTTCCTTCTTATATGATCACTATTCTAGTAAAATAAAGTTATGTTGTTTTTTTTACTCTGAGAAATGATCTAGTGACAGCTGACCAGGTTTTTAGGAAAGGAGTGAATATATAAAATTTGTGAGACTTGAACAGATGGTGGTTTCTTTTAGTTATTAAAACTGACACGTTGCCTGCCTGTTGTTACACGTAGAATTGTGATATAAGATTCTTTTGTTAGCTATGAGAAATGAACATGAAAAAAATCTCATAAATAAGTATAGAATAAATGGGAGGAATTGTATGTAGCAAAAAAAAAAATTATGCCTGTTAGCTGCTGCCATCTGATTTTTGACAAATGAAAAATACACACTGGAGAAAAGACAGCTTCTTCAACAAATAGTGCTGAGAAAACTGGTTATCTACATGCAGAGAACTAAAATTAGACCCCTGTCTCTCACCTTGAACAAAACTCAAATGCATATGAATGTAAGGTCTGAAGCTTCGAAACTAATACAGAAAAACAAACATTTTAGTGTCAAATGTAGTTGAAGTAAAGCATTTGAAAAAGAGCTTCCAAGCTAGTTCAGAGTTAGGTTATAAAGAAAATTGGATGTGGAAAAGTGTTACATACAGGTTTTGATAAAGTCATTTAGTGATGAAGTTTGCTGCTTAGAAGATTATCAGCTCCTTCTTTGAGTGTCCTGACATAAATCCATGCATAGACACTGGGTTCCTTGTGTCTGGCTGTACCTATAAAGTGCCTTTTCTCAAAGGATGGAAGACAAAGGAAAGAACAGCCATGGCAGCTCACCATAAGGAACATTGCAAACCCTAAAGCATGTCAAAGCAAAGGAAAAAACTTGTGTCACTGGAGGAAGTAGGATAAAACTGGAAGGTTTTTCTGGGATACTGGTAAAACTGTTATTAAACTGATACCCCTAAAAACTTGGTTGAATCTTTTTTTGTCCTCGCCCAGGTCCACAATCCCTCAGCTCCAACTCTTGGAGCCAGATGTGCTTCAGAACTCAGTTTTGAATTTAGAAAGGTAATATGGTCCCTTATTAGCCACGTAGTTGGCGCCAACAGTGGGATCTGAAGCAGACCCTGTAATCACACATTAGTATGCCTATGGTGAAATGTACTTACTAATCACTTGGGATAAATACGATGATAAACAACATCTCATGTTTTGCCACCTGATTAATGTCACCAAACGTAGTAAAACTTTTGCAGAATTTTGTGAATTTTGAAGCTACATAAGGGATTATGGACCTCATTAAACCAAAGTGTCAGTACCTTTTTTGGTGGTTTACATTGACCTCTAACTTTCCAATACAGCAGTTGTTAGCAAATCAGTATATTCAGATAGCATCTGATTTTGTGAAAATGATGTATTGTCATTACAGAAATATAAATATCTTGCTGAAGATAGCAATATGTCGGTGCCATCTGAACCAAGCAGCCCCCAAAGCAGTACCAGAACACGGTCACCTTCTCCAGATGACATCCTAGAACGGGTAGCTGCTGATGTTAAGGAGTATGAACGAGAAAATGTCGATACGTTTGAGGCCTCAGTAAAAGCCAAGCATAATCTAATGACAGTTGAACAGAATAATGGTAAGATAGACTTTTGTCCTGGCCATGCTTTTATCTGAATTTTAACTGTATGGTTTTATAATGAGAGACTTCATTTGAAGTGAGATTAGGGTTAGGGGGAGAATAAGAGGAAATAGTAATTTTGTTCCTGCTAATAGTACAGTAGTATAATACTAAGTGTGCCCTACTGAATATTCTATATAAATGGATCTAAGAGCATTCTTTCTATGACAGAGACCAGCAAACTTTGTTTACAGAGTTAAGTAGTAAATGTTACCCCATACAAATTATTTCAGACTCTTTTTCCGTCTCTGTTGCATATAGTGAACTCTGCTGTTGTGGTTTAGAACTTGGTCACAGACGATACACCAATCAGTGAACATACTATGTTCAAAAAAAATTCTTTGTGGGCACTGAGATTTGAATTTCAAATATTTTCTATTTGTCACAAAGTGTTCTTCGATTCCCCCCTCCCACCCCCCCAATAAAACACTAAAAATGTAAAAACAGGTCATCTCCAAAGAAGTAGTGGCCTAGATTTGGCTCAGTCTCGGTAGGTAGGCACTTTGATATTTCTGACTCTTTTTTTCTTACAGTGAAAAACTTGATTCCTAATAACACAGTTACAGGTTATTGTTACTCAAACTTTTCTACACATGAGACATTAGTATGGTTTCTCATTATTAAATTACTAAATGCCACTCAAAATTTCAATGGTTCCTTCTGTCCTTAGAACACATCCTAAGGTATAGAGTCATAATTCTGTGTTTTAAAATCAGTTAAAATAGTTGTCTGTATGGTCATAGTACCAGTTTGATAGATTTGTCTTTCCCATCCCTCCCCCTCCCTCCACCCTTTTTTTTTTTTTTTTTTTTTTTGAGAAGGTCTCCTGTAGCCTAGGCTGCCTCAAACTGGTGATATTGGTGATCTGCCTGCTGGGTGCCACCACACCCAGCTCAGCCATTTACTCTTTTTACCTTTAGGAATTATATTTTTTTGATTTCTTTAATTACTAAGGTATTTATTGTGATGCATATGTTTTAGTCTCTACATATACACACACACACACACACACACACACAGTGGCATACTGTACACACCCATGTCAGTATAATCTTCCTCATTTCGTTCTACTGTCATCTGACAGTGGATATGTGGATTGTGTCCAGATTTTGGCTCTCCATTGAAAACTAATATAATTGTATATTATATCATTTTTAATACTTGGCCACTGTGTTTTGGGATAGTTCCCCACAAGTAGGATTGCTCATTCAGAATAGTGAAAGAATATGTGTTTATGCTATATGTTGCTAAATTCTCTCTACAAGATCCGTATAATTCTACCATCCCGTAGCCATGTCTGAGTGCTTATTTATCCAGAGCCTTACTAACAAGGTATTGCCATACCTTTAGATTTTTAGCCAGTATCATAGGTGAGAAATGATATTGTAGTGCTAATTTGCACTTCCCTTACTGTGATACTGGTATGTGTTTACATGTGAACAGCTATGCATTTTTTTAACTTACTTTTTGCCCAGTTTTCTATAGGATTTTTAGACATTTTAGGAGAGAAGTATATACAGATAGATATTGGGGGAGTATATATACAGAAACCCTTTGAGACTTGATTTTGAGAGGGTCTATGTACTCTAAGCCAGAGGTTTGGCTTTTGAAGGGTTTTATATATATGTATATATATTTTTTTATTAGCATATATTAGTTGTGACATTTATGTATGTGCTTAGAGTGTATCCTAGATTCACCTCCCTCTGTCATTCTCCTTTATCCCTTTCCGCTTGGAGATTTTGGTTTGGTTTGGTTTTTGAGAGAGTGTGTACTCCAAGCTGACCTTGAACTCAACTTTGTGACTCAGGTTGGTATCAAAAACAATCATCTGGTCTTAGCCTCCCGAGTGTTGGGATTCTGGGTATGTACCACTAAATTCAGTTCCCCTTGAGATTTATGGCACAAAAAGTAGAATATAAAGTGTAATGAAGTGAAAATTAATGTGCAAGAAGGAAAAGAAGTTTAAATTACTGTTGCTAGCTTTTCTATGACTTGTGTTTTAATATGTATTTCTTAATTTTTCAAATATTAATGTACATTTCCTTTAAGGTTCATCTCAAAAGAAGCTGTTAGCACCTGATATGTTTACAGAGTCTGATGATATGTTTGCTGCATATTTTGATGTAAGTCATTTAAAATCAACTAATAAACAGGAGAAAGTATGTGACAAACGTATATACGTATACATAGGAGAGAAATAAACATAACAGTCTGGATGAACAGTATCTGGAAACCATTATACTACATTTGTAGTACATTACATCATTTTTAATATTTGGCCACTGTGGTTTGGGATAGTTCCCTACAAGTAGGATTGCTGAATCAGAGTAATGAAAGAACTATTCAACTATCTAACTCTACAGGTTCAGAAGAACAACCTGAGAGCCTCATGAAAATCACTCACCCACCAGCTGACTTAAACCTGTAGTTATTTCTGCATGTGTGTGTATATATAAGGATGTATACATGCATTTGGTAATGGGGTAAGATAAGGCGATGCCTGTGTTTTTCCAGGCTTTTATTAGAATAGAGTTTGCTTTAGGCTTCTGTTTTACAGGTAGTCTGAGACTATAGGATGTGGAGACTTAGAGTAGTAGTCATTGAAGAGTTGAAATGTTACAAGGAATGGATTAAGAAATTTTGTTCAATCAGCTATATTTTTCTTTAATGATTTATCAGTGCCTTTAGTTGAAAGTGTCTTAAACTATAAATGCATTGAAACAAAGCCATTTTTGGAACATGAGAAATACGATGCTTTGGTAAGAGACTATCAGGAGGATGAGCATAACGTGGAAGATAAAAGTGGGGTAGGGTGAGCAGTTAGTGCATTAGTAATTAGCTCAAGTGATCTTTGGTATGTTACATAGTGTGCAACTGCAGCACCAAAAAGTAGACAGGCTAAGAGAGGCTAGGGCTTGAAATGTAGCTCAAGTTGTAAAGCACTTGCCCAACATACATGAGGCCCTGGGTTCAATCCCCAGTACCACAAAAAAAAGGGGTTGGGGGGCAAGATGACTGTTTAACCATTCGAAGTATCAGCACCTGTCATTTGCCTGGATGATATTTGTGTGGGTCAGCTTTCCGTTACTACAACAAAATACCTCATATAGTCAACTTGTAAAGAGGAATGGCTCTGTTCTTTAATCAGTTGACCCTGTTTCTTTGGGCCTGTGATAAGGCAGCACATCATGGCAGGAATGTTGGGGAGCAAAACTGCTCTCTCGTGGCCAGGAAGGATAAAGAGTTGAAGAGGGTCTACGGTACCACCACAGTTCCCTTCAAGGGCACATCCCCAGTGATCTAAACACATTCCAGTAGGCATCACATCTTGAAAACATTCTACCACCTCCCAGTCACATAATCCTGGGGATCAGGCCTTTATCACATGCACTTTTGGGAAAGATACATTTAATATCCAAACTAGAGCATTGTTGAAGGATCTTTTGGGTAATCCAGAGTAATTTGCAATAAAGATTCTGTCAAGTAGTAGACATTCTTATTTTTTAATTTTTCACACAGACTCAACTAGTGCAGCCAGTGAATGTCACTATGTTTCATGTGTATATGGGAAGAGTCCAAATGACTATGTGGACAGGGCAGTGAAAGAAATGGTGAAAATTGTTAGGCGAGAGTTGGACACTGGTTGTTAACTTAGTGCCGGTCTGTAGTTTTTGTCCCAATCTGTATTATCAGCTAAAGAAAACCAGATCTCATTTTGAGTTTTTATTTTCATTTACAATGCCTTAATCATACTCAAGTTTCCAAAGATAACTCATTAAATTGTTTCCCCAAGTGTTCTTGTGATATAAGAGACTTTGATAATCACATTTCAGCTATATTTCATTTACTTGAGAGATAGTAATCATTTACTAATTTGGAATAAAATGCTAGTTTTTTTTTTTTAATGCCCTTTTTTGGGATAAAGGAAGTGCTTTTAATGTCTGATTAGTTGGTAAAGAACTCATTCCTTAATTTTAGAGTGCTCGTCTTCGTGCTGCTGGCATTGGAAAAGATTTCAAAGAGAATCCCAACCTCAGAGATAACTGGACGGATGCAGAAGGCTATTATCGTAAGTTCACATTTCTTAACTCACTTTAGAGTTCTTTGTAACACTATAAAAGCATATTGCTCAGTGCATTCACCTGTGGTTGGAGAGCTCTGATACATTGCCATATCCAGCCACTGCATGAAACTCATTGTCTTCTGGTAAGCAGCCTAGAAGCATCAGGTTGAAGTGAGGTATACTTGATGTACCACCTAAATTTGTGTGTAATTTTCAACCATGTGATAGTCCTCCAGAAGGAAAAAATTGCATCACTTGCTCATCTTGTTCTGAAGCCAAGAAATACAACATACAAAGAGCTTTGGATTCCAGTCAAGCCCTATTTATCATACAGGACTACAACTGGAAACACTTTTGTGAGCACATTTCTTCCCTGCTCAGTGTTAAAATTGTTAGCACTTGATAGAACCACAGGAATTCTTACAGTTGTCAGAAATGGGCATGTAGCTTCTACCACATTCTGAAAGAGTGACCAATACAGGCATGGCTTTATCGCCATTGTATCTAGAAAACTACATAGTAGAGATCTGACACAATTTCTAACTGACTGCTCTGTTTCCTACTTTGATTCTATTTTACAGTCAGACTTTTAATTTTTCAATTTGCTTTTTCTAGGTGTGAACATAGGTGAAGTCCTAGATAAGCGTTATAATGTATACGGCTACACTGGGCAAGGTGTATTCAGCAATGTTGTACGAGCCAGAGATAATGCAAGAGCCAACCAAGAAGTGGCTGTAAAGATCATCAGAAACAATGAGCTCATGTAAGTTCAGGAGACAAAAGCTGAAATTTCATAACAGATAAAATGAAAAAAAATTTTGGGAGTACTGGGGTTCGAACTCAGAGCTTCATGCTTACAAGGCAAGGGCTCTACCACTTGAACCACATTCCCATCCCTACAAATGAATTTTTTTAAATATCATTTTTGAATGACACACTTTGCTGGGTGCAGTGGCTCACATCTGTCCCAGCTAGTCAGGAAGCTGAGACAAGAAGAATCATGGTTCAAGTCCAGCCAACCAAAAAGTTACACCCCATATCAACCAATTTCTGGGCATGGTTTTGTGTGCCTGTTCTCCGAGCACAAATAGGGAAGATCGTAATCCAGGTCAGCCTGGCCTAAAATGAGACCCTATGTCAAAAATAAAACAGAAAGGGCTTGTGGTATGGCTCAAGGCCCTGAGTTCAACCCCAGTACTGCAAAAAAAAAAAAAAAAAAAAGTGACACTCTGTAAAACAAGTATTGCATTTATAAAGTAGCAGAAATGCTTCTTTTTTTTATTTTGAACTTTTAATTTACAACCATGTCTTATGTGTAAAGTACTAGAACCACAGGCTGATAATATGAGTCATTAAGTCCCTGCTCTACTGTGCACTACTATAAACTTAGATGCCTTCCTTCTGCTGTTTATGTTATACCATCTTTTGTTGTGAAAATCTTGAGAACTCAAGACCACAGGTAGGTGTGGCTATCTGGATATAAGGTAGCTGACAGAAAAAAAATCCACTTTAGTAGCTAATGATGGGATTTATATGTATCTTGTGTTTACTCCTCCCTTTTTCCTTTAATAGAATAGGTCATTGCCATACTCACATGTTTTAATACATAATCCGTACACACTGAGCTGGTGTTAAAGTCAACTTCAGCTAGTTTTGAAATGTTAAAAGTATTACATATTGAAGTATTTTTACTCAAGTATTATTTGTGCTCCTTAGATTTTTGTTTTGGTGAGAATTCCCACCTTTTGCATATAAAATGTAGCTTACTGACAAATTATAATCATATTTTTATGAGATAACTAAATTCTAAAACTTAGATGTTCATTACTAAATTCTTAAAAGAACCAAGACTAGGCTACAGCATGGTTCCATTTTGTTTAAAAAATAATCTTACCAAGACATTTTGAGATAAAATGTGCAAGATCTCCCTTTATGCAAGATGAGTTTGAAATATTTATTTAGTGATTGTTTTTTTAAATTAATTCTATCCATGTAAGTACTAGGCTAAGTATAAACTTACTTGAATGATACAAAGGCTTATTCCTTTAGGAACTGATTAGTATTTAAAAAGAATAGAAACTAGCCAGGCATGAAGCCTGTAATCCCAGAATTTGGGAAGCTGAGGTAGGAGGATCTTGAGTTCCAGGTCAGCCTGGGCTACATAGTGATACCGTGTCTCAAAATAAAGAAACACCTACGTACTGCCATATGTCAACTGATACACCAGATTGGGTCTAGCAGATCTTACTTTCCTAAATTATGTATATGTTTAGTTTGGGCCTAATTTTCTTTTTAATTGCAGGCAAAAGACTGGTTTAAAAGAACTAGAGTTCTTGAAAAAACTTAATGATGCTGATCCTGATGACAAATTTCATTGTCTGCGACTCTTTAGACACTTTTATCATAAGCAACATCTCTGTCTCGTATTTGAGCCTCTCAGGTACAGTGACAAAACTTGTACAAAAACAGAAATTATAGTTACTTTATCTCTACCAACTCATTCTGGATAAATACAGTGACAAGTGTTCTGGGTATTTGATTAGTTTTTTTTAAGTTTGGGTTTAGAGTTCACTTCTTTACAACCAGGCATGTTTCTGTGTCTATAATCCCAGCTACTTGGGAGGTGGAGATTGGGAGGATTGAGGTTTTAGACCAGCCTGGGCAAAAAAGTTAGCAAGACTCCATCCCAACCAATAAGGAGTTTTACCATGCATCTCTTCCTTTTTGATATGCTCTCATTTCAGTGTAACTTATCAAATATTGGGGAACAGGATTCTCAAATAATGTTTTTGTTGTAAATTATATTTTGCAGCTAATACTTTATGTTAAGAAAACGTTTTTGCTTTGTATATTCCATTTTGACCTCTTTTTATTTTTTTCTCTCCTAAAAGTATGAATTTACGAGAGGTATTAAAAAAATATGGTAAGGATGTTGGTCTTCATATTAAAGCTGTAAGATCTTACAGTCAGCAGTTGTTCCTGGCATTGAAACTCCTTAAGAGATGCAATATCCTCCATGCAGATATCAAACCAGACAATATCTTGGTAAGTAAGTTATGCAACCAGGCCACCTTCATGTCCGTATTAGTAAGAACGGCCATGTTATTAGTATTGCTAATAAGAATTACTAGCAGTAATAATCCTAGTAATAGGATGATTGCCGTATTGTTTCAGAAATTACTTCGTAGCGTAATTTATATTAACCCATTATGAATGACTTCATCAATTTTTAAGATTTAAAAAAATTTTTTGAGTCAGGTGCCAGTGGCTCACACTTATAATCCTAACTACTCGGGAGGCAGAGATCAGGAGGATTAAGGTTCAGAGCCAGCCCGGGGCAAATAGTTCACAAGATCCTATCTTCAAAAAAAAAAAAAAAGGCTGGTAGAGTGGCTGCTGAACAAGCATGAGGTCCTGAGTTCAAACTCTAGTACTATTAAAAAAAAAAAAAAAAGATTATTTGGCAATTGAGCCACAAAATTTTTTTTTGAAGTGTGAAGAAGAGAAGTGGGTCTTTTTTTTTTTTCTTTGAGAATTCAGAGTATTGCATCAACCTGAGTGCTTTACTATATTTGCTCTTTTGAAATAAGGAGTATTCACCCTTGTTTGTTCTCTGATTTTATAGACTAATGGAGTTAGGGATATTTAAGGAAATTATCCTCTCTTGAGCAAATGTATGGGATTTACTTTAAAAGGTGCCCAGGGGTTTACTCCCCTGTCCCACTCCGCCCCCTGTGTTCTTTGAAGCTTTTGAAGCTGTGGTGCCCAAGAAGTACAGCTTAGTTGTGATTGGTTGTTACATTGAGGGCACTGTTTTTAAGTCTTGACCTCTCTTTTGTTATTGACTTCTGGTATAGTAACATGCAGATTTCATGTTTCTAACATTTTTGAAATTTGGAAACACATTGCCATGGTAGTATCATTAGTGCATCCACACATCCCTCATTTCCTCACCTTATTCTATAGTAGTCACAGTTTGAGGCACATTCACAACTGAACTCGTAGCTCATTTGCCAGTAACATATTCTGCATTCCACTTTCTTTTTAATGCGTGTGTTATATCAGATCTCCTACAAGTAATACTTGCCTAGGAGAGATCCTTAGGAAAAGCCAAACTGTAACATATCCTTTACTGGGAACTCGTGTTTGAGGCTATGACCAAATAAATTCTTGAAAGAATTTAGGGACCCCTGAAGCTCTTTACTGTCTCTTACTATTTTAAAATAACTCCTTCCGGACTACCATATGAATGATGAGGCACATTCCATTTTCATTGTGGTCTGAGTTTATATTGTATTGCATCTCTATTATAACTTGGAGATAGGATTGCTGAGTAATTACAGTGAAGTGGAACATTATAAATTAATTTAAAACTGCCTGGTCAGCTTCATAATCTTTTTAACTTCAAATTTGTTTCTTTTTAAATTGCAAAATAAAAAGCATCCAAATTAAATAATGTGTAAAATATCTACAATTAAAACATAGTATAATCACATCAAACACCTGTGTAGCTGCCATGGGGATTAAAGAATAAAACATTGGCATTGTCTTACAGGTTTTTGCTTTAAACCTCATTTTCCTTGAATTAATGCTAAACTAGTGTAGATTTTCACATGGATTTTAGAATCTAAATTTTTTACCCTCCTAAAGAAGAAAAAGAGAATGCATGTTCATTAGTGAAAATTCAAAGCTTTTAGCCCATGGTCTCAGCCACCAGTGCTGTGGACAACTATCTCCCTCCTAAGGGGAGTAGAAATTGTGTAGCAAACTATAGTACCTAGAAGGGCTAAGCTCATTGGTAGAATGACTACTTACCATGCATGAGACCTACCCTGGTTCCATGTAAGTATAAAACAAAACACAGTACAGTGCATCTGAGTATAGGCAACCTGCTATTATTTTAGGGAGCTCAAGAGTTCCACTGATAAATTCTAATTTTAAAATAGTTCTGGAGCTTTCTCTAGGTCATGCAATTGCATTCCTAAGTAGTTGAATTCAGCTTGTATTTTTAAAAAACTTGGAAAGAATATTTTTACTTTTAAAGTAGTTTATTTTCCTGATCCCCCAAATGAAGAGAGGTAATTGATACAGCTTAATTTTGTGGATATATCATTTACTATAGTCCAGTCTGCAACACTGACCATGCCTTAGAACATCCCCCTAAAGAGTAGTTAGGGCTATTTAAAGTGTTATGTTTCTTTGGGGTGGGAACAGAGGGCCAAGTTCAAGTCCCAACTCGGAATTTGTGTGTGTCTCTTTTGAAGGGGGGAAGGGACTCTGGAATATGAATTATCTTCACTTGTTAATCCTGAACATGCTTCTGACTCATGAGTGGCAGCAGTCATGGGAGCAGCTCCAGCCTTTCTCAGCAGATGTCACTGTTACTGTGTATGTGGACGTATTTACAAAGGACACAAGAACGAATGACTAATATGGAGTTCATGTTTATCACTTTACCAGATAGAGTTAGCATTTTCTTGACTAATACCTTCCTTATATTTGAGGGATTTAATATTTTTTAAACATCATCTTTTTGCTTTCCTTGCCATTATAATTTTGGCAACTGAAAGTCAACTTAAGTCTGATTTCTTTGTTCAAGTGAATGCCTTCATGTTTCTTTAGAGAGTAGCTTGAGTTTATTCAGGTTTGGGGGGGATTTCTAGATGTTTTGCCTCATGAAGTTTTTCTCTTACTACCTCACCTTTTCTAAAATGGTGTTTGTTCAAATTAAACTTGGTATTACCCCATGTTTCCTCCTGAAAAAAGTTTTCACTAACTGTAATAAAATATTTTAAAGCCCTTAATTTTTCATAATTAGGAAATTGAGTTATAAAATAAATAGAAAAATTTTTAAATGAGTGACTTTTGTTCTCAGTATTGGGATTAATAAAACTTTTTAAAGCAAATTTTTTATATGTTTTGTCTTATTTTAAATTTTCTTGAAAAAATGTTTTGCAGGTTAATGAATCGAAAACTATTTTAAAGCTTTGCGATTTTGGGTCAGCTTCACACGTTGCGGATAATGACATAACGCCTTACCTCGTCAGCAGATTTTACCGTGCTCCTGAGATTAGTAAGTTTTTTAAAATGCTCCTGGACCTGGGCCATTCGTATGCGGTGGAAGCAGCGTACTTAATATCTAAGCACTGTTTTCCATCACACTTTAGCAGCTGCACGAGTTCACTCATGAGGAAGGGAACCATAGCAAGTTCATCCTCCTCAGGTGGAATGAAGGTAGTTGTGACAGGAGTCTTGATCATGTCGAGCAAGAGTAGCAAACAGTTGTGGAAAATCCTCGACTTTAGAAGACTGCTCTTGATTATTCAAGGTCTGATTATCATATTTATGAATTGTATGGGACCTTTGGTTTTCTTCCTGTTGCCTTGGTTGAGGTTGATAAATACCTCCACCAAAGGTGAAATGAAAAAAAGAGAAGATACATATTTTTTCTTTTTCCCCTTCAAGTCCTCTCCTGTACCCCCATTTTAAAAGGTTTTCACTGTAAGAATATCTTTTAAGAATTAGTGGGAAAGAACATGAGGCTAATTGCCAAACCAAGGTATTACATTTGTGGTTATAGTACAAGCTAAGTTAATTCCCCATTAATGGAATAACAATAGTCAGTCATTCTTGTCCTCATGTATTAAAACTTCCATTTTGTTTTCAGTTATAGGTAAAAGCTATGACTATGGTATTGATATGTGGTCTGTAGGTTGTACCTTATATGAACTCTATACTGGAAAAATTTTATTTCCTGGCAAAACCAATAATCATATGTTGAAGCTCGCCATGGATCTCAAAGGAAAGATGCCAAATAAGGTAAGATACTACCTTTTCAAGTCTTAGTTTCCTAAGGACTGCTGACACTTAATCATCACTTTCATTGTGAAACAAAAGATTTTAGAGACCGATTGATGGCTACCACGATTCCTTAGCTCCTTTCCCATTTCTGGTGTTTAAATTAGTCAAAGAATGAGATAACTACTTTTTTTCAACAGTGGGCAGGCAGAAAGGGAGTATATCCTTCTTGATGAGAATTGCAAACATATTTGAGAGATAGAATGAAAAAAAAAGATGCAGATAAGGTTAGTTACAATGTAAGGAAGTGCTTTGTAGTCAAAGAAAGAGGAGATGAACATTGAGTATTGTAAGAGGAACTTGACAATCAGTTTATTAAAGATTGGAGATACTCGTACCAAGAAAATTTACTAAATAGGACATTTTTGAACATGAAATTCACCATTGATGCATCAGCTGTAACATTAGTTTCTGTTTAACATGAAGGAAGAACATTTATTAAAATGTCTAAGGGTCATTTCTTACCTTTTTAAGATTCAGCTTAGTGAATTCCTGAAAGATGTGTTATATGCTTGTCTTCTCAGGTGCCATTATGGTTTTTAAATGTCCCAATTCTATTACATTGGGCTTGCTTTTGGTTTTGGTGGAACCGAAGTTTGAACTCAGGGCTTCCTGCTTTCCAAAGCAGGTGCTCTACCACTTGAGTCACACCTCCAGTCCATTTTGCTCTGGTTATTTTGGAGATGGGGCTCACAAACTACTTGTCTGGACTGCCCTCAAACCTCGTCCTCCTGATCTCAGCCTCCCAAGTAGCTAGGATTACAGGTGTGATTCACCAGTGCCGAGTTACACTGGACCTGTTTAGAATAAGTTACACAGCAGTTAGCTGTGTTGATATTTGTTTTAATGAAATCTGACCAGGGCTATTGGAACCTAATTTGTAAAATGTCTTTAGGTTTTTCTCCCAAACTACCAAAAGAAAGGGCTTCAGCTGTGTAATATTTTTCTTACTTAGAACAGATATTTTAAGTGTGTGTTTGAATAGTGAAAGCACAACCTGATGTTATAATTGGTTTAAGCCACTGTCTAGCAAAATGTAATTTCATATTACTAAGCTTGGATTAGCTTTTCTAAAGATGTTAATAAACTCTTCAGAGCAAGGGAATAGGATCAAACAATCCCACAGAGCCTAAATAGTATATTTGTGTCTTTGTCTACCAAAAATATTACTATGCACACATATTATGCATATTATGCAAAGCTGTTTCATAGTAGTTCAAAACCCAACCTTTTCTGTTTTATTTTGTAGATGATTCGCAAAGGTGTTTTTAAAGACCAACATTTTGATCAAAATCTCAACTTCATGTACACAGAGGTTGATAAAGTAACAGAGAGGGTAAGTCTGGTTTAAGTGTTACGTTAAATGCTTTATTGTTAATGAATTGAGTACTGTGTGGTATATGATGCTGTGAATATTTTAATTACTTTTTGCTATTGACCAATTCCTGAATAAAGCACATCAGGTTATGAAAAAGATTAAGGGATTTAAAGGTTTTTTCCTAATGAGTTCGTGTGACATCAACTTTCCTTGAGACCACTTGGTTGGGCTTCTGTACTGCTGTTGAAGTGATTTTTCTGAAAAGAGATCTGTTATGCTCTTCTTGCAACCCTGTTGGCTCCCTGTTTTCCTACAAGGTAATGTTCTCCAGAGTGACAAAGTAACTTCTCGATGACATGAACTCTGCCTTCTTTAGCAGTTACCAGCTCCACCATTCCACACATGCCCAACAGGCTTACTGGTGGAGACCTTGGTGCCTTTGTTCATAGACTTCCCTGAGCCTATGCCTCCTATACTGCCTCATCTTCAAAAAAAGAGTATTCAGGCTTTAGCTGTAACATAGTCTGCATCAACTTCTATAAACCTCCAGGTTAAACTCATGATTTCTTGGGTTTGCCCCCATTATATCATGTCCCAAACTTCATCTGAGCACTCAGTAACAGTTGTGGCATTGACTCATTTACGTATCTGCTTCTTGCCACCTGGTAGTAGTAGGGAAAGTATAACTCAGCAGCAGGGTCTTATTGTTCGTTTTCATTGCCTACTTGGGGGCCTTTTCAATTTAAGTTCTTTTGTTGGTTTTTGAAAAGATGTAGGGGATAGAAAAAGGCACATAAAAGTTTTGAGAATAGTTGATCATTATTTATATAAATATTCGTATTTGTGCATATTAATATTTTTGGTAGACAAAGACAGTCTGATTTACGTTTACATACATTTAGTAACTTATTTAGAGATATACATTGTAAAAATTATTTTTAGGAGAAAGTTACTGTCATGAGCACCATTAACCCAACTAAGGACCTGTTGGCTGACTTGATTGGGTGCCAGCGACTTCCTGAAGACCAACGTAAAAAAGTACACCAGCTAAAGGACTTGTTGGACCAGATCCTGATGTTGGACCCAGCTAAACGAATTAGCATCAACCAGGCCCTACAGCATGCATTCATCCAGGAAAAAATTTAAACGAGATGAAGAAACTCCAAGGGTTTGAGTAATTAAATACAAAGACTGAAGAAATTTCACAGCAGTTTATTATTAATGTATATAAACTTATAAATATATTTCTCCAGCAAATTTGAGGAAGCATGATATGATATATTTGAATTAACACCAAGGGTGATATTTCTTTTAGAAATGTTAGTTAATCTGTTTTGTGTCTTATGTGAAATTTCACTGTAGAACTGTTTTAATTGCCAAGACTGCACAAAGTTACAGTGCTAATGTACATGGTTGCAGTTCACATAAAAGACAAAAAGCATCTGTTATGAGTAGTAGTACTGGGTGGTTGATTCGTTTTTTAGCAAACTTGGCTTCATTTTGGTCTTCAGATACAATGGCCAGCATAAATGCTGTTTATATTCACGTTTTCCTAGGTGTGTGTGTGCAGGCCACAGCAGCATGCCCTTGGTGTAGTCAGTGCCGAAGGGGGTCTGTTCCTTCTTGAGCCTGCCTGCAGGGATGGTCTCCTCTTTTAAAGCAGGTTGTGTACAACATTCAGTACACTGAAGGTAAGCTAAACCATCAACATCACTGGTGTTTTACGATGTTATTTTATTGGAATAATTGACAAATGAGGGATATTAGCTTTGTGGCAGAATTCCCTGCATGTGTGATAACTGATCTTGTTTTATTTTTTGGCATTGCAACTGTGGCAGTTACAATTTCTGTTTTGTTCATCACATTTAAAATTTGGAGAGTGTGCGCTTGATGGATAGAGCGCCTTCAGTGTACTGTTTCTTATTAACTTTACTTTTCTAAAAATCAACTTGCTATAGACTTTCTATACATTTTGTTAAATACAGTTCCTAGTGACATAAAAACAATGCGTAGTTTTCATTTACTAATTACAAATGTTGAGGCCTGATTCTGAAAGTCCTCATATTTAAAGGATAGACAACATAATGAAATTTTTAACTATTTGTATGTCATTTTGAAAGTGTACTGCTTTATGGTAAAAGTGTTTTTCATTTGTTCATTGTTTTCATTGTGATCATGTTGTCTTTCAATACAGGCATAAACCTTCCACTCTTGAACAAAGCAGCTGCTTTTTAAAAGCGGTAATTGCTTCTTTACCTTTTATTTCTTTTGTAAAAAAAAAAAAAGCTTTTCTTTAAAAATGTGACTTTAAAGTGTTGTCTATTGCAAAAAAACAAAAACAAAAACAGTTGACACTCACTTATTGTAAAGTGAAGATTGTTCTACTGCATGTGAAGTGGACCATGCAGATTTCTGTATGTTCTCAGTATGCATCACTAGATAATAAAGTCTTTTGTGAACAAGGCATTCGTAGCCATTTTTAAAAGTTTTTGTCTTCAGTGCTGGTAAGTCAGGTAAACTGTAAATAGTTAAAAGCAACCTTTGTTTTTCTCCTGAAAGTAATTGAAAGTATTATTTGTTAAAGATGTAAAGCTGGCCAAAGTTTATCATTGTATTGATAATTAGGGTCCTATACTTATTTCATCAAAAACAAGATCCTACAGATATTGTCAGCTTTCAGTTTAGTGAGATTATTCCTGTAGGTTGTGGGTTATAATTCAGGATTTAACTAATGTTTCTGCTATTTTCTCACTTTTCCTTTTGATGGTGCGGAAAGAGGAAAAGGAAAACGGGGCACAGGCCATTCGACGCCTTCTCCAAGGGGTCTGATTTGCTGAGACACCAGCTCCACCTTCTTAACAAGGTTATTTCTGACAGCATGTGTAGATAAACATTTAGCACACATTTTTTAAGAATCATGTAAATCAGCTTGGCTTTGCAACACAAAGGAATTCATGTTTTATTGGTAGAAAAGAATTTCAAAAGCATATGTAATCTTTTCTGTCTGGGGGGTAAAATTAATGCCTGTCTCCCTGAGGAATATGGAAAAATTACCAGTTTTTAGGGGTTTAAATAATATTTTTACATTGTAAATGGGATTTTTTTATTTACCCAGGCACCTAATTACAACAAGCATGCACATTTTGGTGCATTCAAGAATGGAAAATCAGAATAGCAGCATTCTCCTGGTGGGTTTTGCTCCATTTAAAGACATGAAATGAACTACACAGCCAGGAAGGTGATAGATGATATAATAAGCCACCTGAACCTACACCCCGTCTCTTCACGGTTTAGACTTACTAAAATAAATACAAGGTGATTGTCATCTGCAGGTAGAGTGAAGCCTTTTAAATAAGGCATCACACGTGCAGCTTCTCCACCTTAATTACGTGGATAGTGATTTTCCCACCATTACTTTATTTTGGTGATAATATGCTGCATATTCAAGTCTTGTAGTTATTTTCACTCAAAATAGTTAACATTTTGATGCTTCTGATGATATTCGTGGCTTCATTTTATATAATTATTTAATAAGTAAGTTCTACTAGAAACAATTCATGCCTTCAAAACTACTACTTATTCTTTAAAAAACAAAGTTGCTTGTTACTTGTTCTTTGTGTTTTAGGTGCAGCTCAGTGGAAGATGATGACAACCAGAAGACATGAGCTAAGGTTTCTGTCCTATAAAAGATTAAAAAACAAAACAAAACAAAACAAAATCTCCATTTTTGTCTAATTTTTTAGTTTTCAGCATTATGATTTGGGTTTCATTGGTGTTTGGTATTTAGAGTAGTAGTGCTGTTGTGGTGTTCATTTGTAAAGTGCGTGTTTTATCATGCTTCCTGCCACTCCCTGCCTTCCCTCTCCTCTAAGTAAAAGTAGTGGTTAACTTCAGTGGTATAAAAGGCTCTTGGGTATGAGATCCCATATAGCACATGGTTGTTAAAATTGGATCCAAAAGATTATTAGAAAAACAGCAGCTTCCAAAGTAGCACACATCTAAAGGTACCGTTAGCTTTAGGCAAGTGTTCAATTCTAATAAACTGTTCTCTTACTTAACCTTTAGTAACTTTGTTTTTAACAAGACGTGGTCTTAATATGGACAAAATATTCAGAGCCACTGTCAACTTTTCTTAGGGGAAATAAGAAAGGTGATGTTGTAATTTTTCATACTCCCAAATTTAGCATTCTGTTTGAAAGAAATCCTGTATACTGCCTTGAACACACATACATGATTTGATTTAGTAATTTTGATGAGGCAGAAATGTGGAACTTGATGAGACATTTGTTAGATTGGGGTCATTTAGTGAATGCCTACTTAGCAAACCTGCTATATAGTTTAGCTATATAGTTTCCAAATGTAATTATCTGTCATAAGTTTTGGCTTTTATATACTTTATGGCTAAAGAGATTGTCAGGTGATTTTCATACTTGACCGTTCATGAAAGTCTTAAGCATAGTTCTTAGAGATGTAGTTTTTTTCTAGGGCTTGTGAAATGGTATAGAACCAGGGTAGATTTTGTTCTCAGTGGCCATCAGAAATGAGCTGGTTTTGAACAGGGGAAGTATCTTGTCATAAATAACATCCTCCTGATATTTTTATTTACTCTTACATCCTTATTAATAACATCCTGTGGGCTGGGGAATGTAGCTCAGTGGTAGAGTGCTTACATGCACAAGGGCCTGGATTCTATCCCTAGCACTGCCAAAAAATAACAACATCCTATTTCTTCATTCCCCAATGGCTATCTCATTTCACTCTACTTTCTCTCCTATTTTTGTGTCTTAAGATAATGTAATTTTGATCTTGCCATTGTGATTATTCCTTTTTTCTAACAAAAATACTCAGGTCAAAATAAATGTTTATGGTGTGTGGTGGAGCTAGTGAAATGTAATGTTCTCTTAGCTTTGTTCCAGATTTGCATTCCTCCTATTCTGCTTTTATGTGTACTTTATCATCATTCATGAGCAGAATTGTAGCTGTGTAGATAGAAATATACTCTATTGAGACATAGGAATCACATGTATTAAAACTTAGGTTAAACTTTAGGGAATGACCTTTTAAATGCTGGAGATAAGAAACCATAGTCAAATATGTAATCTCTCTGTTATCATGACACCGTTAACAATTTGGCTCCATGAGTATGTGTCTTAATAGTATCCTAGTGCCAGCATATATTCAGCGTGAATTTTACCATTCTCCTACATGGAATGTCCTTAAAGAAATGTTCACAGCAGATTCATTTCCTTTTTTTACATGTCAATGATGTATATTAAATTGACTTTAAAATGTTTTTTCAGTTATTTTGAGATACTGTGGCATCCTTACGTTTTCTTCTCCTTCTGTATATAGGGTAAGGGACTGTTCTTCTGAAGAACCTTTCCATTTAGTGGTCAAGATATTGAAGCTGATCTCTGAAAATTCTCAGTGTGTATCCTAATCGTTTGTGGTATCATTTGAATTGTAACTTGCATTTTAGCAGCACATGTTCCCAACCGACTTACTGGAAGCTTAATAAAGTACTCCTCTTGGTGACATATTGTCTGCTGATTTTTATTTCTTTTGAGTGTGACATTTTGCATTTAGTTTTATGTTTCACTAATGTAACATGTGCTTTGACCACCTCAGAGAGAGCTTTTTTTTCTCCCCTGCCTTGCTAAGGATCAAACCCAGGCCCTTGCACATGCTGGGCAAGTGCCCTACCACTGAGTTACACCCCCAGGCCTCCAGTAGATGTGCTTTGGAAAGTATTCTGGGCTCAGATGTGGTTAGGACTGGCAGGTTAAAGTTAAGTGGGAGTCTTTACCGAGAAAGCTCTCAGAAGGACCCTCAGTGGTAGGGAGAGTATGGAGGGAAGTGTCCCAAACTACTGAGCTCAGTGTACTTTCAGTTAAATCTACAGCTTGGAAACAGCCTGTTGAATATGACTTACTCACAAGCATCAACATGTTTTCAAAGCATTAAGTGTAGAACACCAAACAGTGGTACATTCATGTTTCTATTAACATTCCTGCTTTGATTGTTCTACTAAATGAAAAATGTGTTTAACTCTCTTCTCTACAAGTAAATGGTTCATTGCCCATATGGAAATCTGACCCTTTGGGCTCTTACCCTCAGTCTGCCCTCTCTTTAAGGAATTGTTTTTCAGTTTTTAAGACAACAAAGTAAGGGACTGAGAAGTGTAAGTCTCCAGTGTATAGGAAGCAAGATTAGAGGGAAGATGGAAGGTACAAATATCTGGCCTTGTGGAATGTGCCCACCCCAGCCAGGTGGCAGGTAGAGGACAATCTGGTTGAATTCTGGCTTTGTAAGACATTGGTCAGATGACTGGCAGAGGCTCTGGGTATCCTTGTCAAGACCCCCTGCCCATTCTAATTTTCTGCTAAGGTTCCCAGGGGTCAGGAGCTACCTAACCATCTATCTCAGGTGGCCATGGGCATTGTATTTGAGAAGTATGCAGTGCATTTTTAGTTCATGTGGGAGTGCTGAAGTCTGTAATGTGTCCTTTCTCTGAATGATGAGAGAATTAACCTTAGATCCAACAAGTAGCTGAGGAAAAGTGAGTATGGAGAGCTAAACATGGGAATGTGTGAGCAAGCCACCTTAATATAAATTTTCCTAACAGGATTACTTACTAATTTTTGTGTTACAAACTTTGCCAGATAATATTTATCAAAAACAACAGAAGTTGGGGGTTCTAACAGGTCTGAAAAATAGCCAGATGTTTTGTATTTGTTACTTCTGCCCTGTGGCACCAGTTATCCTGTGTGTCCTTTACCTCTGAGGTATGCTTCTTTGTCTCCTCCTTGCCTCCAGGTCCTCTCTAGTCCCAGCCTTACTATAGACAGTTTATGTCTGTTAACCCTCACCATGTCCTTGTGCCAACTTGGCACATGGCTTTGCAAGGTGGATGTAATTTATTAAGAATTGTCATTCCTCCACTGGTAATGCCAAAGTAGCTCGTTCTTGAGCTAATCAACCCTCCTGTGTTATTTTGAGTTCCCTGTTGTATGTTTTGAGTACTTACGCCAGGTACTTTTACTCCTAGTCACCTCATCCTCATGATTACTTGAGATAAAATATTCCACCCCATTCACAGAACAGAAAAGCAAAGCACAGAGAATTTAAGCAAACTGCCTCTAGTGTTACATGACAGGCTGGGTGTAAATTCCCAGGATGAGTCAGAGCTTGTAGCCACTGTCATGCACAACTGTCCCAATGATGAAACAGTCCATCTGCCAATCAAATACTTTTAAAAGAGTGTCTACTGCCCATTAGGCAAAACGTGCCCACTGCTTTACCAGGATACTGTGGTGAACCAAATAAGAATGTCTATGCCTAAAGGTCTTAGAAAAATTACATCATTATAAACCTAGAGGCAGGGGAATAAAATGCAGCTAAGTAAGGGTACAAATGAGAATGCTTATGAAGAGCAGTTCAAAAGTAAGGTTCAGGAATCAAATTACAGGGAATTGCAAAATTTGTAGTAAAGATATTTGATAAGAACCAAGAATGGCCATTGTGAGTTAGAATTCAGTGAAAATACACATCCATTTTTGCATTATAGTTCTATGAAAGTACTATCTTACCACTTTGGATAATGAGACTCATTGTATGAAATACAGATAAATTCCATTATATTAAGGGAGACTGACCAAGTTAATTTTTTATTGGTTTGGCTCCAGAACATTCCTTGAAGTTACCTAAAAACTGAGCATGTTCTCTGTAACTCCTTTATTAAGAAAACTATTTGCGCCTTACTCTTTTACTCGAGGTAGAAAAGAGGACATTTACTCTTCATATTTGAAGTGCTCTTCAATTTGTCTCACTCATCCCTAACACATATTGGTGGAGTGGCTCAAGCATTGGAGCGCCTGCCTGGCAAGCTCTCCCTAGCGAGCCCAGTGCCACAAAAACAAATACAAAAGCAAATATTCCATCTCATTTGGGAAGATGCTTAAAATGCAGTAATGGCTGGTTTTTGTATGTAGCATTTGGTGCCTTGGGTAAATGTTAGAAGTTTTAAAATTGTGTTGTTTTTTAGTGTTTAAGAAAAACTTCAAATTTGCCAATCCACTTAAAACCAAAGTATATTATGCCCCAAAATTTCCAAACCTCTGATTTATGCATGTTGCATCAAGGTTTTCCTTTATGTTTTTCAAAGTGTGATCTAATAGCCACCTGCATTAAAATCACATGCTTATACCTTACACTTGAGTAGAAGCCACGATTCTTAGGTTCAATAAAGTTTGTCCATCATGTAGTCTTTTTTTTTTTGGCCAGTTAATGAACTAAGCTTTAGCTGTTTTGAGTTTCAGTTAGCCAGGGTTAAGATAGCAATGTAGAGCCTTGGGGGAAAAAAATTCCAAACTGTTAGGTCTGAGTAGAAAAGGGTTATTTCAATGCCTAAGCCTAAGTGAGACTCAAAAGAGAATACCACTTTCATGTTTATGACAAAGAAGGGGCTGAGAAATAGAAAGTTTCTAAGGATCTGGGAGAATCTAGAGAATGTTGTATATTCCTTAACAGCAACTTCTTCAGCTTTGAAGGGCCAAGCAAATACCCAAGTTCAAAATGATAGATTTGTGAAGATGGGAAGAGAGAAGAAAAAGGTACCAAAATGGGAAGGACTAAGAAGAAAATCACTTCAAAACTATAACTTTTATGACTATTAATTCAACAAAGAAGTAACTATATAGCAATCAATTACATTGTTTATTGATGATGGAATTACACTGGAAAACAATCACAATCTTCTGAATAGGATAGTTTGGTTAACTAAAATATTTATTTGAAACAACATACAAAAGATTGTCAAGTATGGCAGTGTAGAAGCCCTTAGATTTATATATGGACATCTCAGCCGTGACTTTCACAAGTTCCACTCCATATCATATCATGCCATTGTTTTGTGTGGTGGTTTTGTTTTTAATACCAATATATCTCAATGATGAACTATATTTTAGCTGGGCTTCTTGGAACAGATTTGTTCACACGGGATGTAGGAAGAAAAGTTATTTTTGGTCAATGGGTGAGCACTTATCTTTAATTATAAATGAAGGTGACAAACAGTTTAGTTTCTGGATATAGAATGGTCTATTCATCAGTATAGTTTTTCGGTAAAGTTTCTTTTTGGTCCTTAGTGCCTTAATTTCATCTCTCTGTTTTTCAGGAAAAGACAGAGGTACAGGTGAAACTGGTATTGGAGACCTTGGTGGTAGACATCTTTTTGAGGCCATTTTAACCAGTGATTGAGTTGTTTGGGCAGTAGTGGGTTTGGGTAAGATTTCCTGGCATGGATTTAAAATGGAACTCTTGGGATTCTTAAAATCGTCATAAGTTGCAATCAACTGTTTTGTGGAGGATGAGCTTTTTAGAGATGGTCTAGAAGTTCCTTTGTATTTGCCAGCATTGTTCCAATTCCATTTTGAAGCATTTTGTTCAGGCTTGCTAGAAACAGAATTATTTTTTCTCTTTTCTCGACTTTTCTCTGCATAAGTTATCTGAAGACTCGAAGAGTCAGGACATTTTGTCTGTCTCATTATCGATACAGCTTTGGAGGAAGAGGGTCGCTCGGAAACTACAGGAGTACAGAAACTTGTTTGTAGTCTTGGCTTCTCTTTCTGTATAGTTATGTGTTGTAACCTTTCTAGTTCCAGTAAACGAATTATCAGGTGCTCAATAGAGCTTTCTACAGGTTCCATTGTCGCTTTCCAATTTTCACATTTTGAAAGAGCAAATTTGTGCAAGTCCAGAGTGTTTAAAGGAGAAGGGAGGAAATCAGAATATAGAAATACTTCATTTGATTCCTCTGTGAAAGATTCCTCAAAACTTTCTATTGTTTCTGGCTTTAAGTTGAGGTCCATCTTTTTAAAATAGCCGAGTAAAGTATCATTCACTTTCTCACTTTCTGATAAGTCACTCTCATCTGTTAAATTTTCTTCCATGTTGCTGTTTCCATATTTCAGATTCCAATTTGGAACAGATAAAGTGTCACTGTTGTTATTTTCTACAGTTGAACCTGAATTCATATGAAACTCATACTTGTCCTTAAAAAAGTCTCCGTCAGCATAGGGCCAGCAGAGACCTGCCGACACTGGCAGTTCAGGATGATAACAAGCAGCTTGCTCCTCAGCTGGAGAACTTGACAAAGACGGGCTTAGCGTGAAGAGTCGTATGGAATTGTTGCTTACATTTAAGCCAGTTTCCACTGAAGATTTTATTAGTTCCCTTTAAAACATAATTTCATTAATGAGTGGTTTGTTGACTAGAATTAAAATGCCACTAAATATAAGTAACCTTTTTCAAAGATTGATTAATGTTTAGTTCCCAGTGGCATCTAAGTATCTAGCTGTCTATAACAAAAATATGCTAATTTCCAAATATGCTCTAATTATCTACAACTATGTAATTTATTTAAATTATAGATCAAACTATTGTGTATCCCTTTGTGCAAGCACAGGTAATAAGATGATATCTGAAAATGGCTAGCTGTGGTTATGAATAAGTCATTAGGTTAAAAGTGGCTAATTATATCTATTTTCTTATATTGTATAAGTAATTATGATATCTGAAAATGAAGATATCCAACTCAAACTGAAATTACACTGAAATGCTTATTGACCCAAAATTAGATAAGAAAATTTCAGAGGAGCAGTACTGGGTATTAAACTCAGAGCCTCATGCTTACTAGGCAGGTGCTCTACCACTTGAGCCACTCTGCTAGACCTAGTTGAACATAGGCAGGTTCTTCTATGTCAGCCACTGTGGGTTTTAAAAAGTATTCTAATAAGCCAATGGTGTCTATCAAACAAGAATTGTGAGCTGGAGGTGTGGCTCAAGTGGTAGAGTACTTGCCTAGTAACTGGAAAGCCCTGAGTTCAAACCCCAATACCACAAATGAAAAAAAGTCCCAGATACAGTTCCCCAGTAATTTTCAACTAATGATGTGCTTTTATTTTAGGAGTAATACTTCTAGGGATTATATTAAAATAAAACTGCAGAACAATTACAAAGAAATGGAAAAAAGCCAGGCCATAAGTTGTCAGTTTTTCTTTCTTTCTTCCCTCCTTTATTTTATTCTTTCCTGTCTTTCCTTTTTTTTTTTTTTTTTTCCCCATAAGGTAACAAGAGAATAGGGTACCATGATTTTCAGCTGTAGTCCTGGCTACTTGGGAGGCTGGCCAGGAGGATCATTTGAACCCAGGAGTTCAAGTCCAGCCTGGGAAACAGACTCTGTCTCATTAAAAAAAATAAAAATAAAAATAACTAGAAACACAGTGAAATAGTTGATGTATTTAGTTGAAATGCATCAACCTAGAACTCTGAAAAATGCTTTCATTTCCAAAGAAAGTGATACACTTAGCTAAGTACTAGGAATCGAGCCTTCCCTTTGAAAAGCCACAGGAAAATCACTTCAGATCTACAATTGTTAATAGACACAGCCCATGTAGTGGGGTAAATGGAGTATGAACTGGAGGCAGAGGGCCTGGGGCAGAGCCCTTTGCCCACCCCCCCACCCCCCAGTGAGGGAGCAGCCCAGAATAGTAAAGTCTTAACTCAGACAGGATCTGAGAGGCAGGACAATTTATCTGAATGTTCTCTGCGTACTGTTAGTCTCTTGTTGATGGTATGTTGAGAAAATTTCTAATATTTCATTGATACCAAACCTCCATCTCTGCACCATTATCATTGCTCTGTTTGGTCCTCACAACATCCCCAACAGATAAGCTCTTGTATTTTCACCATTTACTAAGAGTGGGTAAGGTCTCATCTAATGACCTTAGTGCTGGAGCTGGGGTGCAAGCCCAGATAGTAGAATCTCAGCACTGTGATCCTAACCACTGCATTATTCCTCCTTCCTGTGATAAAATGCAACTCATCTCATTTGACCTATGACCTAGAAATCCTTATCTCGGCAGAGTTCTTCATAAAAACAGCCTTTCCCAGCTCCATCACTCCCAACATTCCCTTAGGATATTAGTCAACACAATTCAATTTAGCACTTCCCCCTTGACTTTTATCATAAGATGAGTCCGGTTCTGGAACTCTGGGAGGTAAAATCATCTCTAAAATAGGGTTGATGACAACAACCTACCTTGTTAAGACTGGTGTGAGAGTTGAATGAGTTAATAGATGTAGGGAATTAAAATAGTTCCTGGCACACAGAACGCTACTTTCCTGTTACATTTCTTTTTCCATTCAATATGAAGTCCAACTCTATCCATGTAAGCCTTCACTGTAAGGGCGCAGTGTCTCTTAACTTATATCCATATACTGCCTGTCTTGTGGTATCTGCAACCACTTCCTACTTTAGGGTGAATTTCTGCAATTTTCCATTACTTATGCACAATATTTTTTTCTTCTGGCTGTATTTGGGCCTTTGTACTTCAAGCAGTTAACTAATCTGTATTTAAATCTATTTCAGCAATTTAGAGTATCACAAAAATGAATATTCTCTTACCTGTTCTCCATGACACTTCTTTTTTTAAGCGGATAACTCCATATTGGAAATATCTCTTGTTTACTATTCTAATAATGAAAAATCATGGATAATATTTCAGAAACTGCATGAATTTTAAAAAATTAAGAGTATGGCAAAGTCTCACCTGTGTTCTCTTGTGCACATGCTCTGACGAAGTAGGTTCTAGGATCAGTTGTTGGACTGGACTTTCCAAATTACTCTATAAAGCATCAGAACACTTTTAAACACAACATAGCTCTGTTCCCTACTCATGTAAGAACGCATGGTTCTCGTCCATATGTCCTTCCACATACAGAAATTACTTCAGAAATGAGGATTGTCTCCTATTAATATCAACTAAACTGTCAACTAATATGGGGAACATGGAGGAGAAAAGCAATCCTCAGAACAGAAGATCTTGCCAGGACCCTGTCTAATGAGCCTTAGATATAATTAAGATTATTTTATAATTATGTGCTTAATATTTTGATCAAAAAGGTAAATGAAAGCTATTATTACATTAGAACAAGAAACTGAACATTTCAATTGTTTCAAGACTGCTCAAGGGCTGAGACTACTTTTCCTTTTGGCAGTGACTAGAAAACATATTCACTACAATGTCAATTTCCATTTATAATACTGCTATCTTTTAAAAAGTCAATGTAACAAAATATTAATTTAATGACTAATTTGCAGCCCTGACTTGTTTTAAGAACTCTACAGAAATAAAATTTTGAGGAAGAAAAAAATGCTTTAAAGAACACGTATATAATTTCAAACAGTATTTTGTGAATTATTTTAAACCAAACATCCTTACCTTCTTAATTTTGCCGTAAGAATGTGTATGAAAATGACAATAAGTTAAAACAAGTAATAAGCCAAACACATCCCCTTTGATATGAGTAATTACTTCCAGTATAAATATACATCCAGGACCTTACCACCTGCTGCACAATCCCTTCCAGGTGAGGGGAGTTTATTTTCAGGACTGTGTTCTTCTGAATCCAAGTTCCAGCGAGATAAGTTCTAAAACAATATTTGTTTTAGGATAAAGTTAACATTAAGAAGATTTAAAAAGCTCAAATAAACAGTTTTATGTGTTCTTTGGGTAAAGTATGACAGACGTCACAAAGCTTCAACATTTCTGAGGTACAGTTTTTTCCTGTCTAACCATTTCCAGCTTTGACCCCCATTACTCAGGAAATGGAGAGGCTTTTACAATAATGTATTATTTCATTCTCATTCTTGTTAAAAATAATGACACTGGTTTTTAAATTTGATTTAAACATGTAACAAAATGTCCTGTTCAGTGTGTCCTTAGTACACCATGGTACGGTTATCAGATTTTCTATATCGAAGTATTAAATCTGGAAGCCTATAACAACTTCCCATCAACTGAAGAAAATCTCTAATCTTTGCATTAGATTCAATGCTAACAAGCCCACAACTCATTCTGGATTTCAGATGTTGAGAAATAGGGAACATTCAAGAGAAAGCCAAAGTTGAATGAAAAGGGAGAGTGTACCAGTATCTGCTGAGTATTTTGTTCCAGACATTGTGCAGAGTCAGAAAATGGAAGGGTGAGGACAGGTAGGGAGTGGAAGTAATACTTTTTTTCTGGAAAAGGGAAAGTAAGGAGGTGATTAGTTTATTAGAATGTAGGTTTTTAGAAATGAACTCAGTTGTTTCTATCTTAAATGGGAAAACCTTTAGTAAATGAATCTTTAAGCAATTGAAATGGTAGACATTATTAGGCATCATCTCCACAGTAAGTAGGAGCAGGGAGAAGTAAGCTTAAATGCTGCACAAAGATTTAATTTATCCACAGAGAGCTGTATTTCCTTATAGGAAGAAGAGTTAAATATGGGAAAGGATTATCTTCCTTTGGAAATGCTGAAGAAGAATTCTCTGCTCTCTGGGATAATATATATGAAGTGTTAGTTCCCACATGATAATCACCTGGGGATTTTTTTTTTTGGTGGGACTGGGGTTTGAACTCAGGCCCTCACACTTGCAAAACAGGTGCCCTTCTGCTTGAGCCACACCTCTAGTCCATTTTATCCTGATTATTTTTGGGGATAGAATCTCTCAAACTACTTGCCTGGGCTGACCTTGAACCTTGATCCTCCTGCTCTCAGCCTCCCAAGTAATTAGGATTATAGGCATGAGTCACAGGGACCCAACTTCACCTGAGGATCTTTTGAAAAATAACAGCTGGGGAGCTGGGCATGATGGTACGTACACCTCTGTACCCCAACACTACAGACTGAGACACTGGGCTACAGTGTGAATCCCTGTTTCAAAAAAAAAAAAAGAATACTTGAAGGCCGGGGATGTAGCACAGTGATAAAGCACACGACTGGCATGCAGCCCTGTATTTGGTCCCCAGCACTAAAAGAGAAATTGAGAAAATACTACAGGTTCTGATTCAGTGGGGTGAGGGTGAGGCCCAACTGTTTGTATTTTGAAAACCACCCCAGTGGAGTCTCTAACTGCTTTTAGCTGTGTTCCTGGGACACTAGTGTCTGAATATTACATGTGAGAGAAGTATCCTTACATTAAAATGGTAAGAAGTTTATAAAACCAAGCTACTTACATTTTTACATAATGAAAAAAGCATAACTAGTAAGGACATAAATATGAAATAAACATAACTAGTAACTAGCAAGGAAGGCTAGTCCACTAATTTGCAAATTTCTTAAGGGTTGGGTTATATATCCCACCTGCCTTACTGATGTTTTCTCACGAAGTACTTGTGAGAAAATAAAAAGGCGATTACTGACTAACTGCTAAAAAGGGAGCATCCTTAATGAAATCCAGTTGCAACTGAAGTGTTCTGAGATTCAGAGAGAAGCTACATTTCCCTTTGTTAAAAGACACAAAATATTTCCACTTGCTATCCAAACGTGCTAAGAGGAAAACTCATTGCTCAAGAAGAGAAAGCAGCAATGTTATCTCTGAAGTAGGATTCAGTGGGAGCTATCTCACAGTGGGAGTGGACGCCCACGGGCCCAAAGTCAATAGCATCTGCCATACCTCCTGAGAGATGCTTGACTCACGGAGGTTGGCACCACAGTTCTCACCATTTCTTCTCACCAATTTGTTGTAGCTTCTCTTCTGTTTCCTTAAAATCGTACACAAGTTGTGGGACCGGCACATTTTACAGTAAGGGTCATTTACAGTAAAAGAAAGCATGAACTTTGGATCCTGATCTAAAGCAGGTTAAGCAGAACACTTAGGAAAGTGCTTGCCCGCCATGCCTCAGGCCTGGGTTCCATCCCCAGCACCGCACCACAGACACACACAGGGCCTGGAAAGCAGAGAGGCACTTAGGAGGGCTGCCCGCATAAGTAACCATATGAAAATAATTACAAACAACTGGTGAATCCGAACAAAAAAGGGCAGAGAAAGGCAAATCGGAAGATCTAAATTGGCAGAGATTAGGAAATTACGGTCTGCGATGAGAAAGGAGGTATCACACAAGAAAATGGAATACGAATTGGGAAGAAACAAAAAAGATGAATTGTATGGAATTTATAAAACCGGGCCCAAGTTCTGTTAAACCATTCAAAACAAATAATGCTCCATTTGCAAGCAAGGCTAATCTTACCTATAGGCAGAGCAAGAACCTCATGCATGTTTCAGAAACCCTAAAAGTGCCCTAGGACCAGATGACATTGTCCACAACAAACTATCATGGTGTCTAAAACACCCACTACCTACCATGGAAGGCAAAAGTATTCGAGAACTAAAAGACAATAAGGCAATCACTAGATTAAGGCAAAGCTCTCTGGGGGGAAAATTACAAACTGAAGCTCCCGCGGTAATCAGTACGTTTGCTAACAGTTTACAATTTAAAGTCTCCTAGAGGGAACGGTGCGTCTTGAAGAAGTAGGAGATTCCGTGCAGGTGGTCTGTATCCACCTGCTGTGGCATCCACGCCCCGAGAATGAAGGAGGAGGAGGGGCGCGGGCGCCCTGGGTCACCGCAGTCCCGGGAAGGGGCCTTTGGGGCAGGGTGGCAGGAGGGAGGCGGTGTCGAAGGCTGAGTGGGCGCGGATCCTTATCCCCGAGGTGGGGCCCTGCGGCCCGGTTCTTACCCCACGGCGCCTCCGGCCCACGAGTCCTCCCCTGCGTCCTCTCCGGGGACCGCGCCGCACGGAGGCCCGGGCGCGTCGGCTGGGCGTCCGCCCCCTCCGACTCGGCCATCCTGCGGCGGAAGGACAAGGAAGGCAGCGGCTCCAGAGGCCAAGACCCAGGCTGGACCCGGCGAAGCCAGCCTCGGCCCACCGACGTCCTCGCCCGACAGCTGCCACCGCGGGGGCGCCCGCGGCCACCCAGCCGCCCACCCGCCCGCCGGTGGCTGCCCGACCCCGAGCCTCTAGGGGGTCGCTATCCTGTCCCTGCGCCCCACTGAGCCCCCGCTCAGCCTTTTTGAGCATCGCAGGGTGCAGGGTCCCTCAGGGGCCTTCCTGGCCCTTCCCCCAAGGCCTCCCAGACCCCGTCTTTCCTTCCTAGGCCTGGCTCTTTTTGGCTCCTTCTGGATCCTCCCCAGGCCTTCTGGGGCCAGGGCTGAGGGCCCCACACAGTGGCCTGTAGGTCCCTGGTATCCAGGGCCTGGCCCACAGCCCTCCAACTCCATCGCCTGTTCAAATAACCGGGTGTATGCCAAGCTATAACTATGCTTTATAACAACTAAAAGGGAAGAATAAAGGTATTTCTGCTGAGCGCAAGCCCACTTCTGATCACTTTCAGGTCAGCCTTCTGCCTTAGGGTAGGAAGATGAAAAGTTGATTTTTTTTCCCTTTCTGATTATATCCTTGTTTGATTTACCTATAATTCTTTGTTCACATTATAATTATTCATTTGCAATACTTCACTATCTTTTCAACACGGTGAAGGTGAGATCTGCCTATCTAGCAGAATGCCTGGTATGTAGCAGGGTCGCAGCAAATATTTTAATTAACTCAATTACTGCAAAAAGTTGGCTAGAACTGTATGGTGTGGTTATGGGTGCCAGGCATATCACTGAACATTTAATACTCCTAATAACCCAATAAAGCAGCTACACTAATCATATCTATTTTATAAATAAATAACCTGAACTTTAGCTACATTAACTTTTCCCAACTTAAAATTGTCTGAAAGAGTGAATTGGGGTCAACTTGAAGATAGAAACCGTGTGTGTGTGTGTGTGTGTGTGTGTGTGTGTGTGTGTGTGTGTGTGTGTCTGTGTTCACATGCACTGGTGTGTGAGAATTTCACCTATCAGTCTTACCCATCTCCAGTCTTTGCTTTATGTTTCTGTTTTTGCATTTTCCTTCTGTTTCAGAACTTGAACTGATTGCTGACCCCTTCATATCTCTCTCAGATCTGTCATTCATAAATACGTCTTCCAAGGTTCCCTTCTTTCCTTTCTTTCTTGTCAGATCTTATTAAAAATCTCCCTTTCCTGTTATCCTCACTCAACTGCTCCTTTCTCTGGAGACATTTGCATGCTTGGACATCAGTGTGGCAATCTTGACTGCCTCTCCCGCCTTCACTAATTCAAAAGGTTGTGGTGGTAGCATCTGTATGGGAAACATGAAGAGAATGGTACCTGCTCCAACCCTTGGGTCTGGTTTGGCTCTTGTCCAGCCTTGGGAATTGGACAGTAGGTGGTTTTCCATAGTAGCTCAGGTCAAGCTTTAGTGTCAATCCTTTGCCCAAGAGAATGTACCTGCTATCCCAAGGTCATGCCCAGTATTCAGTTCTTAGTGGTAGCCTCGAGTTTGCCCTCTTACTTTAAATCTGTACCTTCTTAACTAATCCAGAGTGAAACCACTCTTTCAAAAATGAAGTAGGGTGGGCACTCTCGTGGCATTTAGCAAACTCTTCCACTAACTACAGTGGAGGTGGTCTGAATCAGAGAAACGAAGACAAGACTTGGGCCAGCCACTTAGAACCATCTCAGCTTCTCCTCCTGTGACAATATTGAGCACCAGGTCACTATTTCGGAAACCACTTTGACATATGTTGCCTTTTCACTATCCTGGGTTTCACCAAAAAATGTCAGTTACATCATTTCTCAGTTTCTAATTATTTTGCAGGGAAACACTTGATTTCAGGCTGCCTCTTTCAGTGCCCCTCACGTTTTGATACTGCTCAGGTGTTGCCCCACCTCCCTTGATTTTTCTCCTAGTATTACCAAGGTCATGCACTACAGAAGAATCTTGGTCAGTATAATTATGTAAACAGTTTCAGAACGTCAGGACAATATTTTCTAATTAACAATAGGCATCTTTTTTCTAATAAGATGTTCAACCAATAGGAAACAATCTCAAATTAATTATGGGCAAATAATTTATAAATTATTCATATAAGTAAAATTTTAATAAATCAGTATGCATATTTAGCATATTGCCTACATAACAAATCCCTTTTTATTTATTTTTCCCAAGCAACTGCTGTGTCTTTCAGTAGTGGCTAATTCTATTTAGCCTGATTTAGGAACTATATTTCTATGGACATTCATGTTAAATATCCTTTCTTGTGTTTGTATAATTCTTTTTAAAGAAACACATGTAAAAATATTTCTACTTTGAAGGGTTTTAGTCCCCTTTTCTACTTTAAAGTTGTGTTTTAAAAATTAACCTTTAATATTTTCCTCCCTTAAAAATGTCTTACCTGGGAGGCTATCATTTTGTTGCAAAAACATAAGAAATCTTGCTTAAAATTTACTTATTCCTAAAATGAAGGTGACAGTGATATATACATATTACCAGGGGGAGGTAACATAAAACATACACATCAGTAAATTCTACATCTGCTGCACATGTTGGAGCTGGGACTTTAGTTTCTTTTTTTTTCAGTACTGGGATTTGAACTCAGTGGAGCTGGGACTTTTGAAAAAATTCTCAATCAACCTATTTCCTCCTCCATCTTAATTTTACTGCAAGCCTTGATTCCCTCGGTTTACCTTGCCACATATGCCTTCCTGCCCTGTAGATGCCTGTATATTGATAGCTGTGTTTTCTTGGCCTTACAGCATGAACTCACTTTAAATTTTGGTCTAATTTTCAGTAGCAGAACTTACTTTCTGGTGCCAGGAAAGGCAGGGCTCGAATCCTCTTTCTGATAGTGCGGACCCTCCCACCTCATCTGCTGTGAGCCGAACACTCTCTTCAGAACACTTCCTTTGAGAAACTTGGAGATCATCTTCTCTCTCTGGATGTTGCTGAACACTCTGCTTTCTGGAAGCCAGTTGTCCTTGTCACATCCACTGTGGCCAGGCGGCAGGGGAAGATGCTCAGGAGAATCAGGAGCCCTCTTTGGAAGGAGAAAAAAGAATTGCATTTACCTAAGAGCCCAACTAGAAAAACAACCTAGTCCCATGCTACTGGTACCTGAGAGATCAATTTCGTTCCTAATGAGTTGCCAAAGGCGGGCGTAACAACTCTTCTCCAGCTAGGAGAGGAGCCGGGATAGAGAATTCTCTCTCATCTGTGGTTTTGAAAAGGTAAACATATTGGCCAGTAAAGAATAGAATTGGAAATAAGAGGAAAACCAAACAAGGTAAGTATGGACGTATTTGTTCCGTGTAAGACTCAGTGTCCTAGGCCTTGACCCTGGTTGGCTTGGGCCAAGATTACACAGCTAGCTGGCAGCAGAGTATGTGCCAGCTTTGCTGAGTGACTGTTAGTTCCCACCCTAATTACACCATAACTAGAGAAGATGAATGAATTGGAATCCCAGAAGTCTTATTCATTGAAAAAACCCAAAATAAAGAAAGTATCAATCTAATAGTTTATTTAAACATAAAATTTGTGGCTGAATAGTATTGCAATGTATATGTATACCACATTTTCTTTATACACTCATCAACTGATGGATTTCATATCCTGGCTGTTATGAGTAGTGCTGCAGGGAACATGGGGTGTGGGGGTCTCTGTGATGTACAATCTATTTCATTGCATAAGTACCCTATAGGGGGTTGCAGGGTCAACCCCCTATACTTCCGTATTGCTTTTCATAATGGCTCTGCTAATTTACATTCCTGCCTACAATGCTCAAGAGCTCCCTTTTCTCTGCATCTTTGCCAGCATTTGTTATTTTTTGTCTTTCTGATAATGTAACAGGGCTTCATTTGGAAGTATCCCTTGCTCCTCTCCCTTCCTTTTGCCTTCTGCCCCTCCCTAATCCTTTTTGCTGAAGAGAAAGCAGTTCCTTAGATTTTAGTCAACCACCTGCAGGAGACTGAAGTCCTTTGTGATATCTAGGCCA